TGTGCCTTAACTGGTTATTTTTAATTATTTTGGTTTAATATTAACTTTTTAATTGAAGTTTTAGTGTAATAATTATGTATAAGGATTTCAACTGTTAATTGTTAATGGATTTTTACAAATTAAAACTGTAGACTGATTTTTAGTCTGATTGTTGGTGGAGAGTTTTAAAATTTAGAATGACCCTGGTACACATCTAACCTGTGTTCTAGGGTTGTAAACGTGGGCTTTCGGAAACTAACATCTAATGAGCTGTTAACAGAACAGTTAATGAGAAGAATAATTATTATGTACAAAATATATGTACATACTTATGCTACTTCTCAACATAGTTACCACCAGAACTGAGGTACTTGTTGTACTGGGTAATAAGTTTTTGTATGCCTGTGTCAAAGAAGTCTGCTGCCTGTGAGCTCAGCCATGTTTTGACACCTTCAATCACCTTTTCATTATTGTTGAAGTGCTGTGATCCTAATCAGTTCTTGAGGCAGGTAAACAGGTGGTAGTTGCTTGGAGTGAGATCAGGGCTGTAAAGAGGGTGGTCAGACAACTCCCAGTTGAAATGCTCCAGCAGTGCTTGAGTGTGAGCGGCTGTATTTGTACTTGGGCACGCATTGTCATGGAGGTGATGTTTGGTAACAGTCAGACTGACAGATATGGACAAGATCCTATCTTTGTATGGGCATGCAGAAGGCCCTTGATTCTATTGCTGGTAAGGTGAGCAGTGCTTCATGGATAAAGTGTGGACACTCCTGGTTGAGATCTTCAATGAAAACAAAGTTAGGCTCTACTTCAAGTGAATCCCTTCCATTCCTACCCAATCCACATAGAGAGACATTCATCTCCAAACTCCTTTATGGGAGTCATAAGCACTGACTCTCTGGATGGCATGACAGATTAGGAGATCCAGTCTGCATTGGCTGAATAGTCCATCTCAAAAGTAGACAGGCTAATTGGGAAGAAGATGACAGTTTGAATTAGCCTTGTGACACTCAGAGTTTCCACCTTACCAGACACATTCATGTGTTGGACATGAAGGTATATCAGCTTATCTATCAAGACCTAACCTAGTGCAATGCAGAGATTTGGTCACACTGTCTGTCTGTGGTACCTGAGAGGAGATGGCATGGTGAAGCACCATGTTCCAGCACACCTCACTGCATCATCTGTGCCAAGGATCATCCATCTTGGAGTGGTGGAAGGTCTTGCTTTTTTTGATGCACAGAAGTAGTTCACTGAAGCCAATCAGAAGTTGAGGACTCAGTCCTGTCCCTTAGCTTTGTCATTCATGAGGGGTAGGTGCTGCCACATAAGTAGCTGTTCACTTTACAGCTGCTTCACAGTCCATCACAGTAATGCATCTCATCTGTCTGATAGTATTCCAGATGCTTGAGCAGTAGTGCCATGTACTGCTGCTCATGACCATGTGAGAATTTCAGGGATCCAGTGGCATACACAGTGCTATATCCCATGTGTTGCGCAGTTGTGTGTGCTGTACCATTCCTTATCTGAAATTACAGTGCCAGTACATGAGAACTCCAATGTCTGTCTGCATGAATAGCCTTCTCCATTTTTGCAACATTTGTCAATATTGCAATAACAGAAGTCCTCAAGTCCATGAATGAGTGAGTAGTCTGAGCTACTCAAAAATGATTACATGAACCAAAAATACATAAATAAGAAGCCCTGATACCCTACTCCTATGAGAAACATGCCCGAGTCTCAGTCTGGGAAAGATAATTCAAGTCATTACTACTTAGGCTGCTGACACATGGAGCTGCTGCCATGCCCAAATCACCACCATGTCTAATCTAATCTCTTATTTGGACATATCTTGATGGAAAGACTCACAATAAACTTGACCTTATTTTGATAGATAGTAGACAGCAGTCAAGTGTACTTGATGTCCGATCATTCAGGGGAACAGAATTTGATACTAACCACCGTCTGGTGGAGGCACATGTTAGGGAGAGACTAGCAGTGAGGAAACAAAACACAGATTTCATATGGAGAGGTTCAGTCTCAAGGAAAATAAAATGAGATAGAGGGCGAAGAGCAGTATCATGTTGAAACCTCAGGTAGGTTCACAGCTTTGGAGAACTTAGACGCTGAGGTGGTTATTAATAGAGACTGGGAAACTATCAGAGAATATTAAAATTTCAACCAAAAAGAGTCTAGTTTATTGTGAATTGAAGAAGTGTAGTTACCAACCTAGAAGTAACTTTGTGAAGGATCAGAATGGTGATCTTCTTGCTGATTCCCACAACATTTTGAATATGTGGAAGAACTACTTCTCTCAGTTATTGAAAGTGTATGGGGCCAGTTATGTTAGGCAGATAGAAGTACATACAACTAAGCTGTTAGTACCTGATCCTAGTCCTTTTGAGGTTAAAATTTCTGTTGTAAAGTTAAAAAAAAATATATTGGAAGGTAGTGATCAAATTCCAACAACACTCAAGCAACAGGTGAAACATTATGGTCTAAGATCCATAAACTCATTACTTCTATTTGGAAAAGGAAGAATTGCCTGATCAGTGGAAGGATTCCATTTTTATACCAATTTACAAGAAGGGCAATAAAACTGACTGTAGTAATTATCATGAGATATCACAGTAATCAACATCATACAAAATTTTATCCAGTATCCTATTCTCAAGGTTAAGTCTGTATGTAGACGAAATTATTAGGGATCATCAGTGTGGGTTCTGATGTAACAGATCAACTACTANGCGCTACGTTCCTCCGAAACGTCGGCCAAAACGAAGAATACACGGTGCCTAAACCCAGAAGACAACTTTCTTCATAGTCTGAGGATGTTTGAGAACAGGGTGCTGAGCAGAATATTTGGACTGAAGAGGGATGAAGGGACAGGTGGTTGGAGGAAAATGCATAATGAGGAGCTTCATGACTTGTACTCTTCTCCAAGTATAATTAGAATGATAAAGTCAAGGAGGGTGAGATGGGCAGGGCATGAGGAATGACTATAGGATACGTGGGAAAGCCAGAAGGAAGGAGACCACTAGGAAGATCTAGATGTATGTAGGTGGATAATATTAAACTGGATCTTAGATAGAATGGGGTGGTATGGACTGGATTGATCTGGCTTAGGATAGGGGCCAGACATAACTCTTGTGAACATGATCATGACTCTTAGGGTTCCATAAAATGTTTGGGAGTTGCTGAGTAACAGCAAAGCTGGTGGCTTCTCAAGAAGGGCTCAGCTCTGTGGAGTCACTTAGTTATGCTGGGTGCCATCCATCTAGATTACTAGGCGTTCTTTACAATATAAAAAAATGCTTTATGTGGAGGTCATGTCTGTCTGTCTCTCAAAAATTGGTGCTTAAACTGCTGAACAGATTTTTTAAAAGTCAGTACGGGACACTTTCACTTATGCTTGCCAAGCAGTTTCAATTTTTTAGCAATATTTTTCTGTAATAAATTTTAGTTTACAGTAGTAGCTTAGTTGGTTGAGGCACTATGCTACAAGCCAGAAGGTCATGGGTTCAAGTCCCGATGAGGTTATTGGATTTCTTTCAATCGACCTAATCCTTCCAGCCGCACTATGGCCCTGGGGTCGACTCAGCCTCTAACAGAAATGAGTACCAGGAATATTCTTGGAATATTCTTGGGGTAAAGGGTGGCCGGCGTGTAGGGCTGACAACCTTGCAGCCGTCTATGAGCCGATTGTCTAGAAAATGTGGGAACCTCAACATCTGACATCCCTATGGGCCTCCACAGCCTGTTACAGGGATGCCTTTACTTTACTGAGGTTATAAACAGAGCTTTCTGTATATTTTATAAACCATTTGAGAGATGATGATAGAATTTGATACATAAGATTAGCATCAGATATTGCTGAGCTGTTTTACTTTCAGTCATATTGATCCAAACTAATTTCCAGAAGGTCTTAAATGTAACTTTCCATGTATCCCATCAATTCTTGCAAAAGAATTTGGTGAAATTTGAGACCACTAATTCATGTTTCATTATTTCAATTTTTGCATGAGTGCCATAAACCTCGAGGAATGCTCTTATGTAAAGGTAGATTCTTGATAATACAGGTGGTGTACATGGCATTGCCTAGTGTATGAAGTACTGGTACATTCAATAGATACAGTGTTTTGGGGTTGAATCTGTGTATCTTCCAGTGACTGGTTGTCATTGTACTAACAAGTTTTTTTCATTCTGTTTTTGAAATCAGTGTAATAGGTTTCAACTTGTAACCCTTTGGATTATCTAGTAGTTAGTCATCTTTAAAAAGTACCAGTTTAAAGTACAGTAGTCTTGAGGGTTCTGGGCTGGATCCCGACCATTACCCACAGTGTCAAAAATTATAACAAGAAATCTTTGTCAGTTTAATGACAAGAATTTGGAGACAGGAATAGAAACAACTCCCAAAATTCTTGTCCTTAGGTTTTCTTGGGTTGTGTATAACATGTAACTCTGGCTTTTGGGGTTTAGCCAAAGAGTTTAATGAAACTCATCCATTGTTCTGCCATTCATTGCAGTTGCCATCTTCGCTGTAAGGTGGCAGTTGTAATGCATGCTGCATCACTGGAAAAGCTTCAGCATATGATGTGCCTAAGCTCTGAAAGCCAAAGTTGCACAACTCTCAATGTATTATGTAATTTAAAAATGCTTTATGCAGTGTGTAATGTCCAACATGCTTGCTGTAGAATGTTTTCAAATTATTGGCTTTAATTTCTTTTGGCATGTATCAACTGCTTCAGCACAGTTTGCTGAACTAGGTAGTGCTTTTTGTGTGTGGGTTAAGACCAAAGCCTTCTGACATGCAGAATTTGGTGACTTGTTTGAATGAGGTAAAAATTATTGGCTTAACATACAAATGCTGATTAATATTTTAAATATTCCTGAATTCTGCGTTTTTATGCATAGGCCATGTCAAACAAGTCATCTTAATTTGGTGAGATATCAGGTGTGTCACCAAAGAATTGATGTTCTGTGGGTGTGATACACGAATTCACTTAATTTCACGCCTTTAGGTCCACAGAGGATCACTTTCTGAGATGCGAAAGCATCTTCAACATAATCCATATACAAGTACGAGTGTATCCCAGCAGAAGACATCAAATAAAATCCAAACTGCAGTGAAACTTAAAGAAGAAGGGCACATGGTTAGAGACCATAAGATAGGAAAGGATGATGAGCGAAGCAGCAGTGAGAATGGTCTTCATCATAATAGTGACTCAACAAAGAGTCACCAGCAAAATGGAAGTAGTGAGAATCACCAGATAATACCACCCAAGCCATTACCTCGGGCATTGCGTGGTGGTTCCCTATCAGAGACAGAAGATGTGGTTGTGGCACCACCAAAACCCAAGCCACGTACTACAACTTCTACAATTAGTACTTCTCAGCCTACCTCTGTTATTCCTCCTGTGACTTCAGTGAACCCTGCCACTGCTATTACAGGTGGCTATAAGGTTAGCATTACTTTCAAACCAGTTCTTAGTAGTGTAATTTGTAGAATAGACATGAAACAGTTTTAGAGATACTTGTGCTACAAGTATTTGCACTGCTTTGTTTGTATGAAAATAAGTAAAAAGTTATGTTCAGTTTTATTGTGAGATTTGACAGGATAATGTGATGGTATGTAAGTAAGGTAAAGGTATCCCTGTAACAGGCCGTGGAGGCCCATAAGGTTGTGAGATATTGAGGTTCCCATATTTTCTAGACAGTTGGCTCACAGATGGCAGTAAGGTTGTCAGCCTTATGTGCTGGCCACCCTTTACCCCCAAGAACATACCAAGAATATTCCTGGTACTCATTTCTGTTAGAGGCTGGGTTGACCCCAGGGCCATAGTGCGGCTGGAAGGATTAGGTAAATTGAAAAAATCCAATGACCTCATCGGGATCCTATGACCTTCCGGCTTGTAGCATAGTGCCTCAACCAACTATGCTACCGTGTGCCCCCAATGTGATGGTAGTCAGACATGTTATGTTTTTATGTAGGCCTGTTCACCCTGCATTTCTGTTCATTTTGTTATATTTCTTGATTCCATCAGTTGGACTGCAGTCCATTCATGTGTTACATGACAGTCAATTCAGATGCAGTTTCATCAGTGCTATTCCTTCATTTGCCCTAGATATGCTGCTAAATCTGCTTCATAACTTCAAGACATTACAGATTATGGCCACTCAGAACTATGTATTATATTACCACTTCTCTGCCCACCTCTGAATATGTAAACTTTCCTTTGGCTGATAGTGTTATTGCCATACAAAATTCTATCTTCTGGAAATGTTGCTAGTTTTCTTGCGCTTGTCATCTCAAAAATCAGATGACAGATAGTTGTTAGGTTGGGTTGGGTTATTGAGTAGCCAGGGAACATACATATAATGTTTATTTGTTACTTTTTTCATGTATGATGGAGAAATTATATTATTTAGACACAATAAAGTAGTAAGGAGCTTTGCATTTGTGATGTAATTTTAGATAAATCAAGACATACGAGTAATACAGAACTACTTGTCTCACATAGGAATATTTTTTTTTTCTAAAAATTCCAGAGTGTAGTAATGAAAGATAGAAGTGACAAACAGTTGTCCACTGATGTTCTCAGACATTGAACTGTGGATGAAGTTGCCAACTGGGAAAGTGTGAATGTGGAGTGTGCATGTAAAATGTTTCACAGTAATTAATGATCAGTATTAGGATTACTGCCTTCTGGGATGTGTTGCTGTGCAGTCTAGTACATATTTTCTTGCATTTTTGAGGAATATGTTGCCTACATTTCAGGGTAGAAGAGTAAGCTATCAAGAAGATGGAGATAACATGTTACTCTAAAGTGGCAGTAAATATCTACTGAAGTACATGGTGTTACATCCCAAAAGATAGTAGTCACTACTTTGAGTACCTCAAATTTCATAATGATCATTATTGTTTGAAATATTCTGATATTGATTAATGTTTGCACATTAAGTAATGGAATATTGTCTCTCATATATATATATGTAAAGTACAGTATTGCATGTTGTAAAAGTTGCATTTTGGTAGAAAAGCTAGTCATTGCCCTAGACTCCAGTGCTTTTGAATAATATACATAAAACTGAAGATGTAAGTTGTATCTCTTTTCAGTGAATTTTACAATATGGTATAATTCACAAAACACTTGTAGTACAATATTATATTTAAGCATCCTGTTACACTCACACAATATATATGAGACAAACTCCGTCTTAAGTGCAACAATTTAATTGTAGTTCTTTCTTCTTCTCTTCCTCCACACTACATGTTTCAGCCCTAAATGGCCATCATCAGGTGTGTATTCTTACATAGCTGCTACACTGCCCGTAGTTTAAAATTTAAAATCACCAGTCTTTCCAATTGTATGTATGTATAAAATCTTTGTTAACCTACACGCGTCAATTTGATTTCTAAAATTGGCACTTTTTTAAAACTTCAATTCAGATTAAAATTTTAATTTTAAAAATTTGGAAAAAGAAAGAGAACAGAAAATTTATAGACATTTTAATTTGAATTGAAGTTTTAAAAAAGTGCCAATTTTAGAAATCAAATTGACGCGTGTAGGTTAACAAAGATTTTATACATACATACAATTGGAAAGACTGGTGATTTTAAATTTTAAACTACGGGCAGTGTAGCAGCTATGTAAGAATACACACCTGATGATGGCCATTTAGGGCTGAAACATGTAGTGTGGAGGAAGGGAAGAAGAAAGAACTACAATTAAATTGTTGCACTTAAGACGGAGTTTGTCTCATATACACTTGTAGTAGTTGAACTTGGTAGAATTTTCCAGTGTCTTATGTGTGGTTTTTACTTAGTCTTGATGGTTATACTTGACAAATTTGACGACACATATTTTGGGTGGGGCATGTAGCATGCATGGGAAAGATGTGCAATGCATACAGAATATTAGGCAGAAAGCCTGAAAGGAAGTTACCTCATGGGAGATTAAGACATAGAAGGAGGATAATACTTATCTTAAAGAAACAGGGTGAGAAGATGTGAACTGCATTTATCTGGCTCATGATAGAGTCCAGGGCACTCTTGTGAACATGGTAATGTTGCAGTAGGTTCTGTAAACAGTTGAGAATTCCTTAACTATGGAGTGACTCTTAGCTTCTGAAGCAGGAATCTGGCCTAAAGAGTAAGTGGACTGATTACATTTTCTCAGTTGTGTGCATACAAATGTGAGTATGCACCCAACTGAGAAATCCGAAACAAAGATAAGGAGATGAGGACTGGCTTCTGGTATGTGACACCATGTAGTCATGTGAGAGAGAGAGACAGAGTCTGATCAGATCTCTGCTTGCCATGTGCTTTCATACTGTTTTCTTGCTTGGCATATTCTTTGACCCTGAAGATGGAGGTGACTTGTTTCTACAAAATGCCAGTTGGCTTTTGAAGGAATACACAGTGTTATATCCCAGAAATAGAACTCTTCATCCTTCAAGATTCCTACACAGTGTAATCCATGGTTTAATAATGCGGGGAGCATGCTGAATTGCTGAATTTGTGATTAATTCTCTTGTATGCTCTGTGATAATGAATGTGGGTTCCTTCATTCCTAATGTGTCTTTCCCTTCTTTATTTACCTTCTCTTTGACTTTTATCATTAACTTTTTCTTTCAGGCTGTACATATATATTACCAACTTAAAATGGTAAGAAAATGTGTCTAGTAGGTTTAAGAACCTCCGTAGGTTTTCAGTGACTGCAATTGATGGATGATGGAGAACACAGAGCTTCACTAAGTTGTAATTGATTTGTAAGTCTTTCTGTTTGCAGTGCCACATTTGTATCTTTGTAGATAATGAAGCTTGGTCATTTTTGTGAAAAGTGATACTAATTTTATGTTCATCATTTAGTGTCATTAGCTGGAGCCCCACATACTTTTAAACCAGAGCACTATAGAGAATTACAGATATTTCCACCCACCCAGTGGAAATCTTGGAATGCAAAGAAATGTAGGCTTGCACATTGTTGACTTGAGAAATATGTTTGTATGAAGGATGGTTGGAGAGTGAATTTGACGACATATATATCTTCAAGTGATTGCTGAATCATTATGTAACATGCTAAATATGAGAAAACATTCTAGCAGATTATATTCAGAGAATGCTACAGTTCAGGTCAGAATCCTTTGTCCTCCCTTCTCTGTGTAAATGCATATAGATTAAAATACTCAAAATTATATTTGAATCTGACAGCTGCAAGTGGTTGGTGTTGTGTTTCATTTTAAAATCGATCTTGAGTACACTTCATAAATTTTGAACTTTGGAGAAGACGTAATGTATACATACAGTAGAGTCAAAATTACTGGCTTTTTGGACTTTGTCCATCGTCTGGTATTCTAGAAACTAGGAAACACAACGTTTCAGAAACAATCTGTTTCCGTCCTCAGGTGAAGGGCTGAACTTGGAATCCTTTGTGTACTACGTTCAAGTGTAATATGCAGATTTAATTAAAGTCTCTTGGGTAGACCTCGATTTCTGCTATTGAGATTGTAAATAGAAATAAAACAAGGAGTAGCCAACACCCAGTATGTAATGTGTGTGGCACTGAACAATGCCGAAGCAAGTTACCTCAAGCAGCACACCCCTGAGCCATATTTGGGAGATGCTTGGTTTGTACTTCTGTCAAGACACCGACTATCCTGACTGGCATATTTTTGATCTTCCTAAGACCCTCCTGATAAATGTCAGCATAGTACTGCAAAATTGTCCATGATTGCTTTCTCCCACTCCTTTGAAGTTCTCTGACCATGCTCATTCTCCCATATTATTTGTGCCAAATAAGCAGTGTAGTTGATACAGCACCATTAAGTAACCTACAGTTCATCCACAGTGGACAGAATGCAGAATTATTGCTGTGTAAGTGAAGCAGATAACTGACTCAGAATTTTCCTTGTTTTAGTTGTGCTTGTTGTACATACTATTAATTCCTTTTGTCAGCAAGTTTTTGGTTTGTTCTAGCAGCCTAGGCTTGGACCAAAACCTTTCACACCTCCTAAGCTGAACTTCAGTTCTTCTGGGAGTGGAGACGGTGACATTAAGGGAACAACAGAATTCTCATTTGACAAAGTCTTCTCGGTCCCAGTGGCACCAGGTCATGAAGCCATGAATGGGGCCCTTAACAGACATGGAAACAGTTTTCACACAGTTGACAATGAAAATAGTGGGACCAACCAGAACCTTAGTTACATTGAAAATGATTTGCAGAGTAAAGGAGGTGAGTATAGGGATGAAGAATTGAAGGAAGTATGTGAAGATATTCCACTGTCTGCCTGCAAAGATAATGTAGGTCCATATCAAGATGAGACCAAAAGCAGAATAGGACTACAGAGTGAAAATGTGTCAGAAGGAGATGTTCAGCCAAACAGTGGAAGTTTTGAAGAATTATCACCAACCTCACCAACATTGCATGGGAAACCTAAAACTCCCAGTACTGCTGAACGTAGGAAATTTTATGAGAAGAGAATTAGTTCAATAGCAGGCGAACAAGAAGGCACACAGCTTGCAGTAGACACATTGAAATTTGATGATACAGATGATAAACTTGAAGATTTTGAACGTGCATCAGTACAACGTTCCAGCATAGCAGAACGTCGTCGCGTGTATGAGAACCGATCTGCATCCATTCAGGAAGCAAGTGCAGCTGAGAAAAGAAGTCCTACTTTGTCGCCAACTCCTCTAAGGCGGAAGGACTCATATAAGAGCTCTAAAGCTTGTGTGCCCGATGTTGTGAAAGAAGATAAAGAAGATACAGAAAGTAAGAGGTCACCTGTTGCTGTGCAGCGGCAGCAGTCACAGGAACAACCAGCTGCTGGCAAGTCTCCACCAACACAAGACAAGAAGCCTGAACCAGCCACAACTCCAACACCGAAGAGGACTTCAACTGTGTTTGGTAATTCTCTGTTTAAGCATCCTGTTGCAAGCCACATTAAAACATATATGTATAACACAGTCTGTCAATAATGCAACGAATTGTTCCTTTTCTTCCAATTACACTTTTTTTAACACAGTATGTTTCAGCCCTAGATGGCCATCTTCAGGTATCTTACTATATTAAAACAGCTACACTGCATTAATATGCGCTAAATCACACACTGTAGTCCACTTAGTTTAATGAAATGAAATAAAATAAAATAAAATCCATTAACATTTTCATTATTATTGTGAAAATCTGTTCCACCTCACAAGGGGTGTCATCCACTTGTTTAAAACTATATGTTTATCTCCAGGTGTTCTGTTGCAGCAGCTTGTTTTTTATGTTCGTTAGCTCGATCTGTTACATCTGTAATATGCCCCTTGCTTGTACATTGTTCCCTCTAGCAGCGTACATATTAATTTAAATATGCAATAACATATCTCTCTAGTAAACATTCTGATAGCTAATCACATCAAGTAATTTGATATTTTAACCTCAAATCCAGTTTAATTATTCTTTCTGCCTCCTTAAAACACGGTATTATTCTGTGAATAGTTGTTTAAATTTGTTTCTTTAGCTATTTACTTAAATGTAAATACAGTTATTTATTATTGGTGTTGCAGATTTCACTGTTGAATGGTTAAAAGTCCTGTCTGTAAATATGCAAGTAGTTATATTATGGCTTGACTAGTAGAATATTCTAGTAGTTTTTTGTTATTGTACCATGAGCAATGTAACTTTTATGTGAGTTGAATATAGTGTGTATAATATTATCCCTGTGTTTGCCTGCACATAGGCCGTGTGTCAAAATTCCGACATCTCAAGGGAACATCTTTGCATAAGTCAACACACATTGAAAATATCCGGAATGTCAGCAGACAGATATCTGGAGAATGTGATGGTTTCCATGGTAAGTGGCCCTTAAAAGTCCCTCTTATACAAGTTTCAGAATTGAATTGAATTGAATTTATTTACAGTCTATAAATCCTAAGCAGGTTAGTACCTTTGGATACAGAACAAGTCAAAAGGTTACATACGTAAGTACAGGCAATTTTAGCTTAAAAATTAATATAACTTAATTTTACATCATTCTCTATTTACATTGAAGTATTCATCTAAAGAGTAGAAGGAATGAGCATGTAGATAATTCTTTAACTCTGATTTAAACTTTTTAGTATCATTGCCCAAGTTTTTAATACTTTGTGGCAGATTGTTGAACACTTTTATGCCAGTAAAGTAGACTCCTTTTTGATATACTGATAAAGTTGATGAGGGTAGGTGGAAGTTATATTTTTGTCTAGTATTCATGTTATAGACATCAGAATTTAATTTGAATTTATCTTTGTTGTAAACAACAAATAAGAGAAGCGATAATATGTGTTGCGATTGAAGAGGTAGAATTTTTAATTTCTTAAATAATTCTCTACATGAATCTCTACTTCTACATCCTGTAATGATTCTAATTATATTCTTTTGTATTTTAAAAATTATTACACTATGTGAAGAGTTCCCCCAAAATATTAATCCATAGTTCATAATAGAATGAAAGTAGGCATGGTAAACCATCTTCAGTGTTTCCTGTGACATAAAAGGCTTAATTGATCTCATCGCATAACAAGCTGCATTTAATTTAGGTATAATTTGTTCAATATGTATTTTCCAAGACAGTTTTATCCCTTTCCATAAATATATAGAATATGATAAATATTGAAGATGAAAATATTTTAATTGGTTATGGGAAAAATTGTATAAAAAGGCAAATAAAAAAACTTGTTTCATTTATAGTTCCAAAACTAAAGTGATGATAGAAATGTTCACCAAGGAGCATAGTAACCTCTATTATATTGTGTTCTTCCCTTTAGAGTGTTACACCCGCGATCTTTTGTTCTGAGTTATAATTATCTCTTTAGTAATCCTCTTCATGCATTTATGTTCCCTACATTCACACCATTTCTGTCATAGTCTCTTACAGTAAACTTTTTGTTATCTGTGGTAATGGATGGGAAAAGTAGCACTCAAAACTAAAAACACTGAATAATTAAAAAATGTGAGAATACCCACTATCCATGCTGCATTCAAACCCGAGAGTCACTTTGCTAATACTTGTTGTTAGTGCTGCTGGCCACTAGTGAAACACATTTTTCAAACAGAAGAAGGTTCAGTGCTAGTGAGAAGATTCAAGTTTCAATGAAAATTGAGTACCATAGAGTAAATATTTGAAGTTTTTGATAACTGGAGATTTTCCAGGTCATTAGATTTCATTTAAGACATCATTGAATTCTAGCGAACCGTGAAAGAGTTGCAGTGCCACTGAGTGGACCAGGTGGCAAGATTGCAGTGTTTGAGCTCAGCAAGACTGGCAAGCTTCCAGATGGAGTCATACCAACGTTAGTTCATGGAACTAACATCATGGACTTTGCATGGGATCCTTTTAACTGCAAGAGACTAGCTGTCGGTGAGGAACACAGATTGAAGATTCCTCTGATTTCTAATATTTCCTGACTCTCAGAGTGATAAAACAGCAATGGGTTTTCTGAGGACTGATATGCAGTCTGTCTGATATTGTACACTATGAATAATACAGATCTAATTATTACTATCATTTTTAAACTTGCTTATTTACAGTATGAAAGTTAAAAATCAGAGAGATATCATAATTTCCTGCATTTAATATTTCCAGGTGGAAACATTATGCAGGAGTATTTGAAAGAATTTAAGCTGACAGAAATTTCCACTTGGTAAATAGTGGACTCAAAAATAGTTGTAACTAACTAAATTTTGTGGATTTTGTGCAACATAGTACTGATGTTCAGCACAAAATAATAAGCACCAAACAAACAAACAAACAAACAAGAACAGTCTATCTAACTAACTAACTAACTAACTATCTCTGTAAGATTTGAAACTTTCATGGCCAGTAAATGTACAGAAATCTTCTCAGGCAATTAGCCATCTCAGTGTTGAGTTAAAGCCAATAGTTCAGAGATCTCCTTATGTCACTGATCTGTATGTCAGACTGTCAGATTGATGCCTCATTGTGTTGGCACGCTATGCAGCAGAAGGGCAGAGACAAATAGTGCAGTCGCCCTTCTGACTGTAACCTATCACCAAGTTTCTTAACCTGATGTTGATTATTTAGTTGTTATTTGTAGCATGCTCTTCCCTGTGTTTGTCCTGTCAGGTTTTGCCTGGTCTATATACAATGGGGTACCAAAAAGAAACCGAAATAATTTTTTTTTGTGGGCAGAGCTTTTGTAGTACCGCATTTTGCCGCTATGAGCGCATAGAGCTAACATTCCTGAGTCGATAAGCCGACTACCGTTGCTTCAGAAGGTAAGAACTAGTTTCGGCAGAGTTTATAGTGACAACTGTTTTGTGTGATCGTCATTTTTGCAATGGCCCGAACACATGAAAATGTTGAAAAAATTCGTGAAATCATGAAGGAAGATCGACGACGGACCATTGAAGAAATTGTGGAGCTGTCGGGAGTGACTTTGAGCTCAGTTCAGCGAATTTTGACAGAAGATTTGGGAATGAAAAGGGTGGCTGCGAAATTCGTGCCACGACTGCTGACTGCTGAACAAAAACAAGGTCGCGTGGAAGCATGCTGTGCTTTGAAAGAAGAGTCCCGAAATGATCAAAACTTTTTTTTAGTGTTTTGCTGATGTTGCTGAGGTGAAGGAAAAAAACGACGGAGGCGCTGTCAAGCATCTCAAAAGATGAATTTAGACAATGTTTTGAAAAATGGAATAAAAGACTAGACAAGTGTATTAGTGTAAGTGGAGAGTACTTTGAAAGGGATTGAAGGTTTGTGCTTAAAATTTGAATAAATAAGTTTAAAAAAAAATAAGTTCGGTTTCTTTTGGGTACCCCCTTGTATGTTGGGAGTGCCTTAATAATCTGATGGTCGGGTTCTCTGTTTTGCTAAGTTTCAGTGCTTCATCTCTGTTGATATTATTTGCATTTAGTTTTATTTCTGTTGCTCCTTTGACAGTTTGATCTATGTGGTCTGGTGTTTTCGCTAGTACCACAGTCTCTTGGAGCTTGATCTAGTGACCTGATTCATTGCTGTGGTCTGTCACTATGGACATATCCAGCCGATATACATGTGTAGCTGCCGGTCATGTTCTTTATACCTGGTTTCAATGGATCCACCTGCACATTTCCGCACTCACTTGGAGTTACTATAGACCCCAGAGACTTGTAGTCCTGAACCATCCTTCACTGGTCTTCCCACATGAGGACTCTTCTTATCTTGGATGTGGACCCTCTGTATATTAAATTTTACAAGTAACCTGCTGATATTATATGATGTAGACTGTTGGAAAGGCAAAGTGGCCACCCCAGCATGGCTCTGTTGAAGGCTGTGGTGTTGTACCCATTTTGTCTGAATGGCTTATTTAAGTATCAGACATTCTGTCATATTATCTCGGCATGGTTAATGGTGTGCACTACTAAATGTTTTTGCAGTGGATGATGGTGTAACTTTATGTGGAGGTAGAGGTCAGTATAGGTGAGTTTCCTGTATAACTGGTTTCTTGTCACCACCATGTCCAGAATTGGTAGTGAGCTATTTGTTTCTATTTCAATTGCGAACCTGATGTTTGTATGTATGTTATTAAGGTGTTATTAAAAATTTGTAATTCATTCATCCCCAAATTGTTGGTTTTTGACTTAATATTGAAATGGCCAATTGCCAAAGAAGATTTTCATTCCATAACTAACTGTACAGAGCAGGGTCCTTCTTGAGAAGCTGATAGTTTGTAGGAAAATGTGTCCTCCATATTCAGGGTTGAAGGATAAGTGAAGCCGGTAGCAACCGTGCACCCTGCTTTCTACATGCCTCATGCTGGTTTGTTGCTTGGCTTATTCGTTGGCCCAGAAGATGATACTTTATATTAAACTTATGTTTAGTATGTTTTTGGAAAGCAGACAGAAAGACAAAATATTCTGAGCTGAATTGTAGGAAGAATTCCATGAATGTAATCTGCTCTTAGTTTCTTCATGATATAATTTTTTATGTTATTGTTTCATTTGAGGTGCTTCAGAAAAACTTAGTCATTTGCATTAAACTGTTGTGAGCTAGGTAATATAGTATACGAAGGAGGGTCAGTAAATAGGTAAATGGAAGTAAAACAGTTGTCATAAACAGGTTTTTTGTGTGTATCACCAGGTGGCAGCACAGTTCAGCTTCATGACAGTTTAGGTAGCAGATGCTCATGTGCATGTTCAGAGGCTGGTTTTAATAGTCAGAATGGCAACTGTGCTAGAGGATTGTACTACCAAAGAGAAGCATTCTGTTGTGCATTTTTTGTGGTCAAAAGGTCTCAAATGCAAAGGCTATTAATAAAGAAATGTTCCCTCTTTATGGTAGGAAGTGTTTTTTGCATAAAGTGGTTGACAACTGGGTTGAGAAATTCTCACAAGGACATTCAAAAGTTGCAGATGATATCCGACCAGGTCACCCTGTTGAGATTGCAACAAAAGCAACTGCAGCGGGTGGAAGAGCTGATTTGATTTGACAGGAGGATAATGATAGACAGTGTAGCAACTGCGCTGGGGTGTTCCCATGGTTTAGCATACAGCATAAGACATCATTGTTTGAAGTTTCAGAAAGTGTGTGCATGGTAGGTGCCCAGAGAACTGAAGGGTCAAGAAAAAATGAACCAAATGGGTCTGCCTTTGCAACGTCTCTTATGGTGTGCATAGGAAGGAGATGTGCTAAACAGGATTGTTACTGGGGACGAATCATGGGTCCATTACTACCGTCCCAAATCAAAGCATGTTTCACTGCAATTGAAACATCCCAGTTCACTTTCACCCAAGAAGTTTAAGGTTATGAGTACACCATCGGCTGGAAAGGTTGTGNCACGCTTCTGAAAATGGCCAACAGTACCCCCTGAGAATTCCAGAACATGGTAAGCACAATGAAGAAAGCAGTCTTCTGGGATTTGGCACCGTGTATATGTGGTGTTAACCGACGTTTCGGAGGAACGTATCGCCCCCATCTTCAGGGTAGAAGAAAAAGTATAAGAAATCTGCAAGCGACAACACCGTGAGAAACGTCTGCTTTACCGTTTCTCACGGTGTTGTCGGTTGCAGATTTCTTATACTTTTTCTTCTACCCTGAAGATGGGGGCGATACGTTCCTCCGAAACGTCGGTTAACACCACATATACACGGTGCCAAATCCCAGAAGACTGCTTTCTTCATTGTGCTTACCATGTTCTGGAATTCTCAGGGGGTACTGTTGGCCATTTTCAGAAGCGTGGTGAAAATGTGAATTCTGCAATGTATGGTGAAGTTCTGTTGAAGCTTTGGGATGCAATTCACAGAAAATGTCCAGGCCAAGTGGCAGGAGGGGTACGGCTTCATATTGACAATGCCAGACCCCATACAGCCCGAGCAACCCAGGAGAGAATTCAGAAACTACAGTGGGAACTTCCTGAATATCCGCCTTGCCTTACAGCCCAGACTTGGCCCCTAGTGACTTCAGTTTGTTTGGTCTGCAAAAAACCACCTTGGTATCAAATACTTTTCTGTTGACAAAGAGGTTGAAATGGAGGTGCAGATGTGGCTGATACAACAGTCAAGAGCCTTCTGTGCTGTGAGTTTTGATGCAATGTTAAAATGATGGGGCAGGTGTATCAATGGTGGTGGAGCATACACTGAGAAGTAAATGTTCTCTCTATGTTCAAATTTCATATGTTTTATGTTTTATATTCATTTGTGACCTATTTACTAGCTCTCCATCATGGTAACTAGGTTATGGGCCAAACAACCAGAGAATCATGATTCACTTTCCAGTGAGGGCAGAAATTTGTTCCTTCTCACTTCCATCTCACACAGGCCAGTTGTGCTTCTTCCAGCCTCTTGTCTGATGGGTATGGGTGGCTCTTTGTGTGTGAGTAAAGCAGTTGGGGTGTCACCACTTGTCTCCATGTAATACCAAAGTTAAGAAAGACTAGACCTATTCCACTACCTGAAGGCCAAGAGTCATAGTGGGCTGTTTTGCTACTACTTTTACCTTTACATTGAACATTTCAAGGCTTCAGCTCTATTTCATGGAACTGTGAGAGTTCTTTGTTATGCTGTAGCATGTGATGATGGGACAATTCGTCTGTGGCTGATCCCAGAAATGGGCCTTGCTGAACCAACAAATGAACCTGACACAATTCTTGCTGGACACTCTGAGAAGATCTACTTTATCAAATTTCATCCACTTGCAAAGGATGTCTTGGCATCAGGGTCTTACGACATGACAGTACGAATCTGGGATTTGGCAACTCAGGAAGAAAGAATCGTACTGCACGGACACACAGACCAGGTATATCTGTTCATGTGACACAGTTTGCTTCAGTGGTATATCTCGCCCCTTGTATTTGTGGATTTCCGGTTTGAATCAGTGCTGAAGAGTGGCTGTTCTGACACAGCCACTCTTATATCTGATTTTGTCATTTATTTGTGCTTTATCCAGACTGCCATATCTGACAAGACAAAATATTTCTCTTTCAGAATTAACTCTGGACAGTAATGTTTTCCTTTGTCACCAAATGGTGCATGTAGCAGCTTGGGCATATATCATTTGGTAATGATGTTTTTCCCTGTGAAATAATGGAAACTGCTAGTATACTGCTGAGAGTGGCTAGGCTAGGAAGTAAGCCAGCAGTATCATTGTTGGGAGTGGGAGTACTAATTGGATTTGCTATGGTTTCCCCTCAATCCCCCAGCCATTTCACTGTGTGACTACAATGTTGTATTCTAGAAGTAGCTGGCCACTTTTCACGTTTATACTGTTGTAGAAGTTACTTGGAGAGCACATTGCTTTGGGTGGAGGAATGGCAAGGACAGCCACCAGAGCCCAGCTTCTGCTGTTCACAGATTATGCTCAGGCCTGTTCCAACTTCATAGTTATGTTCTGAATGGTCTTTTATGACTTTACATTCACTTGCTTTATAATGGAATGGAAGTTTGGTGTGTTTGTCACTGTCCATTCTATAGAAAGTGGGTTAATCATTATTTTCTGTAACCTCCATTCCTCCTCGTAGATTCAATGATGTGTCTGTGGATGTAAAATGACCAATTCATATATCCTCTGCAAGTTTGTAGCTTCACATAATGATAGGGGTGTCACTGGAAAGCTTCTTGTCCAGCCTGTTTGTTAATATACCCCACCAGGAAGGTTACCTTTTGTGCCAGGTTTGCAAAAATGGAGCATTTTGTTTTGTCTATCATTGCCTCTGTGGATTTTATCCTTAATTCTTTGCAAGGAGTATTTATGAATAATTACACAGACAATTGCCGTGTTTTAAGTAAATAAACATACCTCAGGTAGACTGAGTTTCTTCATCCCGCACAGTGGCAATGGGATAGGATAATCTGTTTGCCTCAGAAGAGGCTGTGTTTGTATCATTGTCCCATTGGGATATTGAGATTTCGCACTATTTTTATTTATTTATTTATGGTTCATTAATGATGCTGCCAGTAGATCAGATTAAATAATGCTGAGTGATAGGGTGATTAGTGAATAATATATTGGAAAGAGTGAGGAAGGAAACTGTCATTGCCTAATTTGAGATACTACCTTGGGATTTGCCTGGAGGGACTGAGGGAATCTGTGAGACCTCTGCCAGGTTTCCCTCTCTCCATGCTGAAATTTGAGCCAAGGGTGCTTTCCACTCAGCTGCAACTTTTGGTTAGACCAGTACTGTGGCAACCATAAAGAAAGGTACTGCCTCTCATGTACCTTTCAACCCCATCACCACAGCGCTAGCACCATCTGCTTCACTTTATATAACTGCATGCATTGACATTTTTAGATGTTCAGCTTCGCTTGGAGTCCTTGTGGAGCATACTGTGCCACAGTAAGCAGAGACAGCAAATTACGTGTATACAAACCTCGTTCAAACAGTCAACCTATCCGAGAAGGCAAGGGGCCAGTAGGATCACGAGGGGCTCGAATTATATGGGCCCTTGAAGGGCGCTTCATTGTCGTCATGGGTTTTGATAAGTATGTTGCCTTTTTGATCCTACACATGATATTTGTGTTTTACTAAAGTTAGTGATTTTATATTGTGTAGAACTTGGGCTCTCACTTAGAGGTAAGGCAGATTGTGGGTGTTTGAGAACCAAATACTAAAGAGAATATGGTGAAACCCCTCCTGTGTTCAAGGTATATCTTGGGAATGGTGAATTTGAACGCTAAACTGACGAATGGAGTTAATGTAACACTGAGATTATTGACTTTGGATCATGGACATGAGGGAAGATATTAAATGGGGATTCAGCTCTGTTTGGATCTAATAGAATGGAAGTAACAGGAGAATGTAGAAAATTGCATAATAAGAAGCTCCATAGTTTCTACTCTTCATAAAGAACAAGATGGGCTCAACAAGTAGCATACAGATACATACAAAATTTTAGTCAGAATATGTGCAGTGAAGAGACTACTTGAGAAATTGAAGTATAGATAAGAGAATAATATTAGAACAGCTTTTAGAGAAATGTGTTTTGAGGGTGTCTGTTTGACTCAATTGTCTGAGGATAGGGTCCAGTGGCAGACTCATGTGAACATGGTAATGAACCACTGGGTTCCTTAAAAGGGCAGGAAATCACATGACCAGCTAAATATTTATCAGCTTGTGAAGGACAACTCTACTCCATGGAGTGAGTTCTAAATTTTACTTATGCTTTTTCCTGTCTACTTAATACCTGACTTGGGGGTTGAAAATTATGGTTGTCTGTTTTCCAGTAGCGACCAAAGCATTTTGGCTATTGGCTAATCATCCACTCAACATTTTGGAGTTTTGTTAATCTCAGTCAGTTGTAGCAATGGAAATGGCAGACAACTTCCAGAGTTGTTAAGATCAGTATCACTAGTACATCATGACAATTAATCTTGTCTTTTAAATTGCATTCTTTTTCCTGTTATCCTGTGCCCAGCCTTTGGATGTTTCAGGCACATGGCATGGAGTAGAATAAAATTAAGCTTTCAACTGATTTATATGCCCAAACTGTGAAATTATGTATCTTTGTATGTATGTATATAAACTATTGAACCACATTTTTCTTGCAATAAAAATATTTGTCTGCCTACTGGATAAAAATATTCAACCCCTGATTTGGTTTATTGTTGGATGAATGGATTGTGTTGTTGATTTCTTGAATTTTACTTGGAGTATAAATAGCTTAACAGAAAGTGACTCTTGTTTGTAAGAAAAGTAAAGGAATTAACTTTTAAAAGTGGATTAGCAAAACCTTCCAGACCTGTCCATATACTGATTTCCTTTGTTTTTGTTAATGTTAGAAGTGGAGTATACCTGACTCATGGGTGTTTCCTGGCAAGTCTAGAATGAATGCATTAATAGTAATGTATATAAATTGGTTGTTAACTTTTTTGTGCAGGGTTTCAGAAAGGCAGATTCAGATATTCAAGGCAGACAGTTTAAATTTGCCTTTAAATACAGTAGGGTTGGATGTTTCTCCGGCAATCCTAATACCTTTCTATGATGAAGATAGTTCTACACTCTTTCTCACAGGAAAGGTATGTATAAGAGCACTCTTATAATCCATGCTTTGTAATGAAGGTAAAAAAGTTACTGAGCTGGTTGGAGTAACAGTAATGCAACTGACTAGTATTTGGGATGTACACAGTCCTAGTTCTGGTATCCCAGTTATGACTTTCATAGCTATTTTCTCAAAATGGCTCACCATGTAACCATGTAATTGACTTCTGTGTGGATACGTCAGTTATAGACATTAGTATTACTGACAGTGACTGATTATCATGAAACTTGATGTGAAGAGGGTGCCTTTGTAACTTTTTTGAGACATTTACATAAGAAATGTAACATGTAACACATACAAAAGCAATCTTGATAAAATATGACTTTGGGGGGTCTTTAGTTGTGGCTTGTATAAGGCCATTGTAACATTTATTTTACATGAATTGCATGTTATGCTTATCAGTTTTCTCATAAGCTACTCATCATGCAGGCCAAAAAGTTTGTTGCATCACAAATCAGGAGTGCAGTTTAGAATGGAATGTTGCATCACAGGTTAGACTGGGTGACCAAAACATGATGTTAGAGTTCTGTAGTGGAGTGCTTGGAATTATGACGGTTAAATAAACCTCAGGGTCATCAAATTATGTATGAATGAATGAATGTATAAGGGGTGGGCCTTCTTGGCCCTTGCACCGTAACCACAGTGATCTATTGTGCCTTATCGAATTATGTAAAATCACAGAGTGCATTTAGAAGGTATATGTACTCCATTGGAGTAGCAATAAGTGCTATTCATGAAACTAAACATGAACTGTAACTAAATAGACCTAAAAGTGCATGAACAGAGTTGAAGAGTGGCCCAACCCTAGGAAACTGTTTTTTATTTTGATTCAGATTAACTGATTTATATCTTTATAATAGTGCAGTTCAGCAATCAACTTCAAATTTTAGTATCACCCTGCTACTTTTCTGTACCGTTCTCTTTCTTGTTATTGTTGAACTGTAGAATATTCCTACTGCAAAATAATGTGTTAGGGGCTGTGGTACTATGTATACTGGTACACATAACTTAGAAGACTGTTGTCCCTCAGATCTCATTATCACTGTGGTCTTTAATGTATCTCACGCTGTAAATCTTTCAAAGTATAAACAATAATTTGTGTGAGCACTACATGATTTTCTAATTTAACTTAAGTGTTTGTAAGTGTTATTTGAATTACACATATTTATTAGTAGTAACATGAAACACCATTTTACATATTCATTGAAAACTTATCATGATAATTCTGTTTTAGAATTTGTAGTACTTCTGAATTTGTCCTTAATTTATAGTTGTCTCTCTTTTGGGATGTGACATACTTTACATTGAGTTCAGATATCTTAAACTATTGCTAGTGGGATGGGACTAAGTCCCTTGTACTACGGCCACTTCTGGCCAATTATACCAGCCCCAGATGAGAGGTGAGGTTGATTGTGGAGCAATTGGTGAAATGAAGATTGGCAGGTGAAACCGAAGTACTCGGAGAAAACCTGCCCCAGCGCCACTTGACCAGACCTGGGATCAAACCCAGGCCACCGCGATGGGAAGCCAGTGACTAACCGCTTGAGCTATGGCGCGGCCTTATCTTAAACTAACTCAACATTTAATTGTGTGTTTCTGCTTTTAGGGTGACTCAACTATTTATGCATTTGAAGTGACGGAGGAAGCGCCATATCTTTGTCATCTAAGTCATCATCGCTGTAACTCCTTGCACCAAGGACTCTCATTCCTTCCAAAGATTGTGTGTGATGTTAGCAATGTTGAGTTTGCTCGTGCTCTTCGACTAACAAACAACACTATTGAACCACTTTCATTCACTGTACCAAGAATTAAGGTAATTATAAAGGAAAGATACTGTAAGATAGTGAGCATAATAGTTTATTCGATAAAGTAACTGGCTGTGAATTTGACAGTTGGGGTTTGATATTTATAAAGCAAGCACAAGAGAAAACATTCACAGTAACAGTGAACTTATACAGAGGGGTCCAAAAAAATATACTCACTCTTTGATAGTCAGTATCTTTGGAATAAATTGACATGTAGTTACAATTCTTGCACGGGGAGAGAGAGAGAGAGAGTCATTGTATGTGTTCAAAGTGACCACCATCAGTGGCTAAACAGTGTCGATGCCGCCAAACTGCTAAGTGAACTATGGCTGTCAGTGTGTCTGGTGTGATGGCTGTACATGACGCTTCGATGGTTTCTCATAGTGCATTCATTGTAGCTGGCTTTTGTCACTAAACTTCATCCTTCAAGGTTCCCCATAGGTAGAAGTCGAGGTGTTAGGTCTGGAGACCGTGGTGGGTACTCAGTAGCACCTCTTTGACCTATCCATTGTCCTGGTAGAGTGTCATTTAAGTATGCCCTGACATCTCAATGGTGGTAAGGTGGAGCACCATCTTTGCAGCCTTCAAAATTCGCCGTACACTTGATCGGCTTACCCCACTTTCGCGTGCACACTGATTCACAGATTTTTGCAGTGATCATGTAAAGTGTTGCAACACCACAGCACTGGAAGCTGGACTTGTTACTATCGGTGGTCTCCCAGATCTTTGCTTATGCACATCATGAACAGTACCGTCAGCTTCAAATTTATCCCGAATACAGGCAATTGTTCAACATGTTGGTGGCTGAGTTCCAAACTCATTCTGCCATTGTCGTTGTACCTCTTTAATGTTTTCGTACTTCCAGTACCACTTCAATACAGCCTTGCGTTGCTCAAAGAACAACCTTTCAGCCATTGTTGCTGCTGTCTTCTGCTCGCAGCGCACACATGACATGACACTCATGTGACCTTTGTCATCTGTTGAGAAAACATTACACTACACTACCACATGTGAATTGTAACTACATGTCATTTTGTTCCAAAGATATTGACTATCAAAGAGTGAGTACATTTTTTTTGGACCCCCCCAGTGTATTTGCAGTGGAGTTGTTATAAAGAGATAATTCTATAAATATCCAATTCAGGAGTCATCTTGTCCTGTTCAGTTCCTTATTACATTTTTGGTGCTATATTGGGATACTGGGATGGTACACCTGAAATATTGTGCAATTTTAAAGAAGTGCTCACCTTCATTGACATAGGAACAACAACAAATATTTTTATAAGGACAATAGATATACCATATTTTCTGAAATACCACATACCTTGCAATAAGCCATGCATTTATTTAAGAAGTAAAAATGATAAATGTTCATATGGTTTTATTGAAGTTTTAAAATATACATGTTAATTGTAATTGTACATAATACATGGTGTCTTTAAATTCAAACACAGTGTTCTTTGCTTTTTCTGCTACAGCTTCATAGTTTCTGTGATCTGATGTCCTGATTCTGGGAGACATTTGTTTTTTCTTTCTGATACATCATTTATTGCAAGAAAATGACCCCATCATCCATCCTTATCTTGCCTTGCAAACTTGGATCCTGTGTTCTTTCACCAGTGCTAAGCCCTTTAACTGGCAAATTTTGGCTGATGTTGCCAGTTCTCATGTATTTATAAAGCCTCTCTTCTGTTGCAGAAATCAATATCATATTTATATTGTCAGTGCAGTTTCTGCTTTTTTCTGCATCATGAATTATTTTGAGATTTTTATTATCTGTGGAGGGTTGAAAATACATGCCTTTAGTACTTGTATTTAGCAGAACACGTGCACTGTGAACTGTGGCTGTGTGTGGGTACACCAAAGGAAGAGGAAGTAGTGAAAGCAGTAGTCAACCTTGTAATGAATAAGGTTTCATTGTTGCCATCCTCATCATGGATGAATGGCTGTACAAAGGCATGCCAAGATGATGCAATATTGTAGTTCTGCCTTCCCCCAGTGGCTGTCATAGCTCAGGCCTTTGGTCACCAGCTTCCCACTGTGGCAGGCCAGGTTCAGTCCTGCATCAGGTCATGTGAGATTTGTGGTGGGCAAAGTGGCACTGGGTGATGTTTTCTCCAAGTACTTCGGTTTCCCTTGCCAAGTGTCATTCCACAGATAGCTCTGCATTCATTAATCAACCTGCCCTCTGATATCGCTTACTCTTGAAACTGCATTGTCAATAATTAAATTTAAAAAAAAATTGTGGCTAATTTGTGCACTGTTACAAACCTCATCAGAAATAACCCATGTACTTCAGGTTTTGATAACTCATGTATAGAAAGGACTATGGAGGATATTTGAGAAAAAATAGTATTTAGTTTTGTGTTTTCATTTGTATCTCTGGGCCACTTTTAGTTAAATGTGACCATGCAGAAACTTCACTGTTCAACTGTTAAGGCTACAGTACACTTTCTTGCATTATGCAGAGTGATTTATTCCAAGACGACTTGTTCCCACCAACCAAAGTGACGTGGAAGCCAACTCTAACAAGCACACATTGGTTCCAGGGGATGGACAAACTGCCAGCAAGACAGAGTCTTAAGCCAGATGGCATGGAGTGTTGTGAGTCTGTATTTGTTGCTTAATATTAAGATGGTTTTAAATTTTAAAATTTGACAGTTTTTAAAATTTTAAAATTATTATCTTTATTCATTGTCCTTACATTGTACTCTGTGTACCAGGTTAGCTCAATCAGTAAAGCCTTTGTAGAGTTCCTTACTCTGGGATATAATGCTCTGTAATTGGTGAAAGTCAGCAGACATTGCTGTCTGCCACCTGCTGGTTTCCTGTTTCACTTGCTCTTGGATCCTGAAGATGAAAGTGATATGTAACAGTCGACTTTCACCGGGCTGCATGATTATATATACTAGGTGACAGAACTCCTCATGGTCACCATTCTGAGACTCTTGATCCAACTTAAATAGTGTTTGTGATTGTAAGCTGAATGACCAGGGACTGATTTCTGACTCTTGGTAAAGATCTCTGTCCCGCCATGTCTAGACTGGATATGGGTCACCCACCGTCCCATATACTGGGTACCAAAGTTTCTTCTTGGGGGGAAGGGGGGTAAAATACCTGACGCATGAAACTGGCATGCACTTTTCATATAGTTCTGAGGTTAAGAATGTGCAGAGCTTCAGCTCTACTTGTTCATAATTCATGTTGTGGTGCTTTACCTTTGCAGTTTCCAATAGTTACCTCATTTAGTGTCAAATTTTTACATTTCTGTCTTGCAAGATGTAGTTAAAAATAATTTAAACATTTTTTTAGAATGGCTTTTTGGCCCAGACTTTGGAAATAAAGTGGATGGCAATCACAAGGACTCTTGGGATTCCTGTTCTTAAGTTTTACTTTTGGAGGTTTACTGTATAACTTCAGCTTTTGGGAATAAGCTGCGTAGACCCAAAGACATCAGTCCTAAAGATGGCAGCTGCACTGTTTACTGAAGCAGAAAGCCTTCAGCATTCTGTGCCTTATTCCTAAAAGTAGAAACTATGCATTTAAATCTTACAGTGCTGGAATTAGTTTAAATTGTATAGTTTTCAGATTCAAAGGAACTGTTGTGTCATGTGTCATATTTTATGTCACCCTTAAATATATATAACCCTGTCATTATAAAGCTTTGGCTTCAAATGATAAATTGTTTTGTCTTCTTTAAATAGTGCCTTGTGCACTTAGATTGAAATCATCTGATATTATAAATTAAGAATAGTTGTGATTTTTATAGGTTTCTTGTGTATAGAAGACTGATACTTGAATTCTGAATTTTTCCCTCACACAGGTTATGTAAATCGGTAGCATATTGAAGCCGTTTTTAAGGCTTCTAAGTGCTAAACCAAGGAAAATATTGAGAGAGAAATTTAACATTAAGAAATGTTTGGGTCATAAGAACTGAGTTGTAAAAGGGTTGATGGCTTAAATTTAGAACCTTAGGTAAGGATAGTCATCATCATCATCATCATCCTCCTCCTCCTCATCCTCCTCCTCCTCATCATCATCATCTTTATTTGATGTGGATCATCTTGTGACAAGCGGCCTCCGTAGTCTAGGGGAAACGTTCCCACCTCATGACTCAAGGTACGCGGGTTCAAACCCAGCGGAGGTCGTGGAATTTTTAAGGGCGGGAAAATTCAGGGAACAAGTCCTCCGGGAGGGACTTTAAGTCGTGGGTCCCGTGTCGTAGATTTACGGCACGTAAAAGATCCTCATGTCTCTAGGAGACCTCTGAGCAAAATTAGGCAATTTTCCCACCCAAGTAGTTTCCAATGCCTCTGGTAGATGGGGGAAGTATGAAGGTACCAAGGGCCAACCTCGTTGGCTGAACGGGGCTGATAGCATGCACCAGTACCGGTAAGGTATGACGACTGGTAGAATATCAAAGGGGGATGTACAATAGACTATTAGTTGTGGTGCATGGGGAAACCCACCTCCTCCAATAATAATAATAATAATAATAATAATAATAATAATAATAATAATAATAATCTTGTGACAGAATCTTCTCAGTACTTCTCTTTTTTGCCATAAGTACTTCTGTGTAGTTGTGCCCACTCTCTATACTCTTTTTTTTTTAACTTGGTCTCCCTAATAGTTGATCATTTGACATCCTTTTTATGTGTTCAGAGGAATCCTGTGGTCTTCAGTCCTAAAATGTATCTTACTGACATTTCTTGATGCGGTTTTTCCACATTTTGCCCAATGTTCTGCTTCAGATTTTACCCCTCATTGTTGATATCCTAATACTCCATACAATATCTGCCTCTACTGCCTGTAATCTACTTATATCTGCACTGTAATTATGTAGATATGTATTGTATTATTTCCTGTCACTTCAGTTTCACTGCATATGTTGATCTGTTTGAAGTGTCTGAAGTGCAGGGGGCTGCAGGAAACATTGAGAAATCTGGTGGCAAGACACTGGGAAGCACAGCTGCCACATGTGGAACCTTCTCTGGTTCTCAGCAGCCGTACAATCGCCTGGGATGGAATGCAGATATAAGTGGTTCAACCAAAGAGAAGCAAGAACAGGTACTTCCCATGTGAATACTAAGCGTATCGGCAATGTGCATAGTACACTGAAAGCTGTGAGGTCTGGCACTGGGTGAACCAGAAACTAACCAACTATTCTGTTGAATGCTAGGAAAATATCTTAAATAGGTAGCCTTTTTACTGCATTCTTAAATCTAAGCTCACTTCAGTTTTAAATTATAAAAGTAGTGTTGATGTGCGAACGTTATGAGGTATGGATAATTAATAGGTAGGAGAATGGAATCAGATTTAAAATAGGGAAGTACAAGAAAAAAAAACTCTGTGGCCTGTAGTCCACAAGCGAACTGTACCAATAGGGAAGTACAATCAATTGAAATTTTGAACAGTCTGCAGACTTAGAACTTTAATTCAGTCTGAATTGAGTACTATTGGTCATTGCCTATTTCTGTGCAAAGAATATCATTCTGACTGAACAAATTTTCAAAGAATGTGCACATTACTTGTGGCAGTATGATACATACAGGGTATGCACTAAAGGAGAAGATGAGTGAATGTTAACCAAAGTTGCACAAAGTCAGAGACTTCTTCCTTTCAAGTTCAACCTTTGGTTCTTCAGATAAGTGTCTCTGGGACACATCAAGGGTTATGTAGAGCTCTGAAGTGTCTTTCGCAGATTTAATTCACCCAGTTGTTCATCAAATCAGCTGTCATCCAGCCATTTTATGCGCAAATGCATAGTTTTCTTTCTTCCTTCATGAAGTAACTTATCACTGGAAGTTTAACAGCTTCTCTTGAAAATCATCTGGAATCTTTTGATAGATGTTCAGTGACTGAGTGGCTCCTTCATGGCACATGAATTTTTTACACCAACATTGCCCAGCTTTGAAGTTTGTTAATCTGAGTGAATTGAGAGTTTCTGATGCCTTTATTTGCATAGCATGCAGTTTGACAGGCATCCCCTTTGCACACATCTGTTTAATGAAATGGAGGACTACAGCATCTATGACAGGCTGTCTTTCTTTCTTAGGCCTTATGAAGCGCTTGATGGTTGCATCACACAGAAATATGGAAGCATGAACATTCGTTTGACTAACATTTGCTTCACTTGTCATAAATTTATGTCCTACATATCTGTTTCTATGCTGTGCTGCATATGTAATGGATTTTAATTTTAATGCCATGTCATAATGGAATCATTTTGAAGACACTATAATGTGGCAATTACATATTGTGTTTGGGGTGTGCAGTTTTTTTGTAAAAATTAAAGTACAGCCCAAGTAGCACTAAGCATATCCAACAGCGAACTGAGATGATAACCAAATGTTCAGTGGTACCAACAGTACCAACCCCTAAATGTTCAGCAATGCCAGCAATACCCACCCCCCAACTCCCCTTACTGAGTGTAGCTTGTAACAAATGTTTTAAGACACAACAATTGGCTTAGGTGTAACAATGAATGCTAGTCAGTCTCTCTTCATATCAGAGTATTAGTTAACATTAAAACTGCTTGGTATATTCGGTGTCCCAACACCTATCAGATGTTTTATACATTGTCACATTTAATGATATTCTTAACAGTGGAAATACATAAATACTTTCAGAATCTCCTTTTTCTTGCTGTCTTTGTGTGTACTGTCCCATGGCTAGTGTTTTGGACATGAAGATTTTCCATACAATTTACTCATACAGTGTAAATTTTTGTCATCATGTCATCAAATGCAAGACATGCCCTGATTTCAGAAATTTTAAAATGTGCATCTTAAAATCAAGAAAATATGGTAAATATTCACCGTCATCAAATTTGCTCAGCTTGTTTCAAACCATTTTTAGTTCATTTTCAGTAGTCACCCTTACATAGAAATGTGCAGTCATACGAGCAGAGTAATGTTTGTCAGGTATTGTGAGTCAAGATGTTTGTTACTGCAGATTCAGCGAGCAGTTAGCAGCAAGATGGAAGTGAATCTGAAGCTCGAACAGGATGAGATGGAGGGTGTTGATGAACGTGAGTGGGTGAGTATAATATTAGTCAACATGTTTAATTATCCACAAGTGGGACTTTCCACTTCGATGCGTATTACATTAAGAGTGGTGCTTGTTGCCTTACAGGCTTTTACTTCCAGTGGCACCACCCATATGAAGTCCCGGTTTCAAATTCTGTTGTCTGTCATTGCACTCTAATGTTGTTTTATTTCTTCTGTCCTTTCTCTCTTTTTCTTCCACTTCCACCTTCTCCCTTCCTTCTTTTCCTAATTTTTGTATATGAATTTTGTCTAAAGAAGAAGTTGATGCTATCTGTGCTGTGTATCTCATGAAATACCCATTTTCTTTATGGAGCAGTGGACTTGAACACCAACTGGGAAAAATCTTAAATTGGCGAAATTTAGCATGGAAATGAAATACTTGGAATCATTGAAATTTAACTTTAAATTAAGACAGTTCTTAAGTTGAGGAACATGAAGTGGGGGTTCAACTGTATTTGGAAGGATAGTTTCATCTATAATGTACAATGTGCCTTCCAACATTTTTAACAATTATATTCTTAATTTAAGGCTAGGAGTACAGTGACCTAAACTTGAATTGTTCCAGGAGGACTGAGCAGTGACAGCACAAAATCAATACCGCCGACTTGGGACCAGTTGCATTTATAAAAAGCTCGGTGGGTTTTTCATGGCGCAGATCATGGTATTCACACTTTCTGTGCAAGATAACAGTCACCACATTGATGTGTCTGTAAGTGATAGTCTGTTTGAGCCCAGAATGTCTACTGGAATATTTGCTTGATTGTAAGTTGTATTCAGTTTGTCCTTCCACCTTAAAAATTACAACACTTAATTCAGGAAATCTAAAGAATTAAAATAATGCCACATACCTTGATATTCATGCTTATTTGCATACATTCCATGTCATTCACTGCACCCAGTATGTATGACAGAATTATGAGTACTTTACAGCATAATGTTCTGTTAAATGTTATAGAGGGCAAAAAAGAGAGATGTTGGGTATCAAAATTTCCTTGAAGCTGTCATTTACAGATTATGTTCTTTGTTTGTTGGTGACTCATTAATAGGTCTGCAAAGATTTTTTAATTAAAATTCTATATTTGGATAGTAGGCCATACATTATTCTGTATGAAATGTTATAATTGAAATCAGTATTATTACTGATTAATTTAAATGAAAAGTTTAAAAATGGGTATTGAATGGAAGTTTTCTGCATTTTGAAGCCAGTTTCTCTTCAGTTAGTTATACATTTAAATGTATATATAAAATAGGTGGCAGAATTTATCCTCAGATAAACAGGTGAACAGTTAATACGTTAAGTGCTGTGTTCAGCATGTGAAGTCCTGTCTTCCAGCTGTATCAGTTGTTCCTTACTGTTCTTAGTGACTCACCTGTTTAGGATGAATTAGCCAAACGTTTTATCATTGAACAGTTGAAAATGTTTGGCAACAATTCGAAGCAGAAGCTTGGCATGAAGTTACAGACAGAAAGGAACTTGTATTTTGATTAAAGATCCATATATATTAAAAGAATATGAAAATTTAAAGCAGTGTGAAGACTATTTTACTGCTCAGCCAGAAGCATTGTTTAAAATAAATTAGCTTTCTAATGTTGGTATGAATATACTTAAAAATAAACTGTTTAATTTAAAAAATGGCAGTCATGTTACTGTTAATATTATGTTATTAATAATAATAACAATAATAATAATAATAATACTGACAACAACCACAACAATGAAAATACCAGTAATAATCTCCAAAGTATCAAAGACTTGTTGATATTTGAATTTCTTATAGTTCTTAAAATATAGATTAGAATGTCGTTTGTTTATAAGCCATTTGGCAACAGAGAACATTTAAATTAATGCCAACTGCAGAGGCAGAGGACTTCTAAATATTTAACCTACAAAATGTAGCAGTCTAGTAAAATGGGCCAAACATCTAGAAAAATTAAGATTCAGATAGTGCCTGTTCTTAGTTTTGTCTCTGTTTATTTTTTATTTATTCATTATTACATTTATTTATTAACTTATATAATCATTTATTTGTGCCACTTGGACAGGTTCCACTTCATGGAAAGATATAGAATTGCTGCACAAAATGCATACATATTGATATTATTAGTCATATATATTTCATAAGATATAAGAAAAAGGAAATATATCATATTATCAAGAAAAGTTCTGCACTTTTCTTCTTATTTAATTAAAGTATCTTTGGATGAACGGTGTTTTGTGTAAAATTTCATTGATTCCTTGGATTTTTTGTATTTTCCACTTTCATCTTTATGTCACTCAGCTTTTTAACTCTGGAAAATGTGACATACATCTGATCATGAGTGAGAATGATCAGTCACACACAGCCCAGTTTTTCTCAAAGTCTGCCCCTGTTCCTTGTTTATGGTCATTGCAAAGGCCACACAAACTGGAAACTGGTGCTGCTTCACTGTGAAGCCTTCTTGGGTCAGACGGTTGCAGGTGCATGTTGTGTTCTCTATATAAGGACACTTTCCCCTTTGAATGGTGATTAGGTACCATTCACCATTCCTTGTTTTGTGTTCATATTAAAAATTGACATTCCTGTAGATCATTTTTTTTGTTCATCTTATATGGTGGCAATTCAGATGATTTTTTTATTATTCCATTGACACAGTTGTTGGGGACAATTGCCAATTCTTCTTTCTTTGTGTTAGAATGAGGCCCAGAAACATCCTTATCCTTTCATTTGTATTAGAAAAGAGAATCAGAACAACTGTGTAGGCTATCATATTAACATCAGAGTAACACTTGTTACATATACTGAGAACATTTTCCATTTAATACCCAACATAAACACAGATAGCATTTAATAGTACTGTTGTTTTTGTCTTGGTTGCAAGGTGACTGAAAGTAAATGTTGCTACATATTCTCTGACTACTTTTATAACTGTATTGTTTGAGGGAAGAATTATGACCTCAAACCAGACTCATTGATGATGAAATCCAAACTGGTGCAAGAAATTGCCTTGCAAGTTGTGAATAGCAGTTATGAACAGAAACTGTCCTTCATCAGAGAACTGTTCATAATCAGTATGGTTGGCATACCATATTTACATAATGAAACAGTTTGTCAGTTACAGACATCTGAAACACAGGTAACTTGGCTACTATCTAGTCCATGTGATGCATATTTGTAAATAATTGCTGCTGTAGTCTTAACAAACTATCAATATAAAGAAAACATCACAGTAACTTTTACAATTTAACTTAACATTTATTCCATAATTAAGATTATTTACACAACATGTGCACACAGAATAAAGTTTTTAATATAAGTTTATTGATGCTTGTGCTTGTGATAAAATGACTTCTCAATCTGAATAAATATTGATATTATTTATAATATATAAAGCAGTATTTATATATAATACAGTTATCTTGTAAGCTTTTCAGTGAGTGCACATTTTTTAATATAAAGTTAATATCTGACAGAGTTTCCAGATATATATCCATCAGACAGAACATTATAATATTGACAGCTTACTTCATTAATACATTAATCCATTATACAGTATGGTTTTACATGAACCATCATCAGCTGGATGGCCAGTAACACAGAAATTATAGAGATGATGACTGTATACAGTAGATGCCATATGTTGTTGGGTCCATCATCAAACTGCTGTTTTAATATCAAATATTTGTTTTCTACGTACAGAAGGTGTGGAATATTTTAGTAATTTTTTAAGTTTTTATTTCACTACATCAGCTGTTAATTCAAGATACTCCTTTGCAGTTTTCTTATCCACCTATTGACTTATTTACACAGTAACATATTTTTCAACATCATAAAATTTGGTGATGGCTGCATCACCAGAAAGTATATATTGAACTCTTATGGATAGTTGTAATCTCTGTCATTCTTGTATTATTGATCATCCACCTGATGATGCTTTTTGTAAAACCGAAATATGTAGTGCAGTAAATACTAATAAAGGAAGTTGATAATATCATTGTTCTCTTTGGTGGATATACACATGGAAACTCTTTTGTCAGTTCCACACAGACAGGATGCATTTTATGGAAGCCAGTGTATTTACTGGATGTACAGTAATGCAAACACCCATAATCTGAGCTGGGTCTATAATGCAAACATATTCATTATTTGTAATTTCCTACAAAAAGAGAATATAAGCAGGATTGCTAAATAAGCACTCTGTAATTTTATATTGAAGAGGTAAATGTATGTATTGACACAATGTGTAGTGTGGTTAATTTTTAAGCATCTAATTTGTTTATATATTAAAGACTTTAGTGTTAAAGTGTTTGATTATCAAAGAAAATTTTGTTGATAATTTGATTTCTGTAGTCTGTAAGACTGTGTAAAACAGAGGTTTGTGTGTGTGTCCTGCACATTTTAGATCCATGAAATTTTGTGCAGGAGATGATAAATGCTGTTACAAGAATTCCATTTTCATCCTGATTGAACTGTAGTATGTACTCTACATATGAGTATTAATGAAACGTCTTTTCCCCTCTTGAATGCCTTACCTGTTCCAACTAAAACATTTCCGTGTGGTGGTATCAAACCACTTTGTCTGTCCACATTTAATTTTTAAGGAGATTCTACAATGTTTTACTGTGATAGAAGGGGCAAGATCCTTTTAATTGTAATATATTGTGTTCAGAGGAGTGGAGAATTAGTTGATGTCAGACATGTTTCAGGTTAAACCTATAGTCTTAAGAAGATATGTCATCGCTCCTGCCATCATTGTCAGCGGCAGCAGTAAAACAACCCTTTCTTGAGCCATAGCTTTCCTTAGAAGATTCTGTCAGACTTGTCTGAATTAGACAATCAATTTTCAGATTTCACAACAGTAATTTTTTTACAGAGCGAGGTCATCAGCCTTGCATCCATCCACCAACCTGGGGGATTAGGTCTCCACATTTATGTCCCTCAGTGACAGTGTAGCCCCAAGGCATCATGTTCTTTTCTTCATCCTCTGTGACTTGCAGGGGTATGGTAGGGGTATTTAGAGCAAGTATATATGACTCAGAATTACTGGGTTTTTGGACTTTAAATGTTTTGGAAACTGGATGTTTCCCTCCTCAGGTGAGGGAGAGGAAATCACCTACTCAGTTGGGTCCCTTAGAAAGAACTAACCTCAATTACTGGAACTCCCCTGTCAGATTCATGCAGCTATTCAATCACCTTAGACCAGGCTAATGCAGCGGAAGATAACAAGAACATATGCAATAAAATTGTGACCGAGCGCACACGTGTGGAACTAGGATAGAAAAGGATGTAGAAATTTGTGTAAAAACCTAGCCAAGAAAAAACAAGTGCATTAGCACCAATGCAAAGAAATTGAAAGATTTCGTGAAGACATGTACATCTGCCACTAGTGACATCTGTGGAGTAAAACCAGAACATTCAAGACTGAAACCTAATGGAAACCCATGAAAATCCCAAGTATATATGAACATAACAAAATGACAGGACAATTTCAAGCATGTATATTCCCACTTATGCAAAGTATGGTGCAAAAATTTGTTTCCAGTTTATTAACTCTTTTGCTGCAATACATATTAGTGGTATTTTACTGTGAGTGAATAGAATTTTTCATTTCTGTATGTTATGCAACAAATACTGGTCAGATGAATCAACAGACTTAATATTTGTAACTAAATAATACTGTATTTAAGCATCCTGTTCCATTAATATATCATTTGTACAAATATATTTCCATCTTATATGCAACATATTATTCTAGAAACCCTTCTTCCTCACTACATGTTTCAGCCAATCACGGCCATCATCAGGTATCTTCTGTCATGCTGAAATTGTACTGTATGTCAAAATCATATATTGCATGCGAAAGTGATATTTCCTGATTAAAATAAATTAACCTTAATTAAAGTTAACATGGCAGTATTTTCCTTACTGTCACTTTCCAATCATTTAACAGATATATGCTTAATATCTCTAGTTTTGGATTTATTTGCACAGCATTCCCTTTTCAGCATGGACATTATGCATGTTATTTGAGCAGTTCATAATACCCACACCATAAAGGGAATGCTGCAAAAATAAATCCAAAATGAGAGATACTCAGGCACATATCTTTTAAACGAATGGATGATGACTACAAGGAAAACATTGGGATGTTAATTAATTTTAATTAAGGTTAATTTATTTTAACCAGGAAATATTGCATCACATGTGACACATAATTTTGACATATGGTGCAACAATTTTAGCAAGATGAAAGACACATGATGATGGCCGTATATGGCTAAAACATGTAGTGAGGAAGAAGGGTGACTAGATAATAAGTTGCATTTAAGAGAGAAACATGTGGGTGCAAATAAATTGTAACTGAATATATTGCTGGATGATCTCTAGATCACATCATCATTTTGTAATGATTGTATCTGAAAATGTCCTGGTTGGAGTGTTCCCTCTATACCATTGATTTTAAGTGAGATATTTCAAGTTTTTCTGTCTTTCCAGACAGTAGGCCATGTATGAATACTATAAATGTTTTGCCTGCTGATGTATATAACCCATGCAATGAACAGAATAGTATTAAATAAACCAATATCAATATTTAACATGGGTGGAAGTGTTTATTCCAATTTGGAATACACATATTTTCAAAATTAATTCTTTGATTTAATGCCTCACTAGCCTGGATATTCATTTATTACAAACAAAAATCTCTTCTAGCATTTACAAACCCATTGTTGAAACAGTAATCACACTACAGAAATCACACTGCTTAATCACAAACAATTGTTCCTTGTGTATCCGTAAAATATATTCACTGTATTAAACAATGTTACAAATGAAAGTTGCAGATCTTAATAAAGTCTGTATTTTATTTCACATTCAGAGTGTGGGAATGATGAGCATTTTTAGAAAAATTATAAAAAGTTCAGTTTGACCTTAATGTAAAGTATATGTTATAATGGACTGGTATGAACCAGTGTCTAACAGCATTTAATTAAGCCCAATACCGAATCTAATATAAATTAGTCTAGCAGTTTGGCAGGTATAACTTGTGGACAGATGGATACACATAACCCATTCTTTATGTTCTTTGTCATGTATTTTTTGCTGAAAATGAATGGGTATGATGTATTTCATCAGAATGCGAAAGTTTAAGAAAAAAATTGGTAAATATGTCATACTGATGATATATGTAATTTAATTTCAAATTTCTTCACCTCTTCCACACATGTAATCAGTGTTACACTGCAGCCAAATACTCTAAGGTACCATGTAGGATTTACAGGGTTAGTGTCACTATTTGAATTGCTTTAGTGCATTCTTTGACAGTAGATAAGCGTGAACAGAAATGAACACATTTTGCACTTCTTGTTTCATCTGGTTTCATTATGTTGCAGTTTTCTGAATCATACAGTTAGTGTAGACTTGAGATTGTAAGGTAAAACAAAGAAACAGTTTCCCTGCCAAGTTCTGTCTGTTTCTTTATCCACAGTGGTATTTCTGATGCTTATAGTGAATGACATAATTCTGCACCCTCTCTAAAATAACAGAGGTGACTAACCTGAAATTCAGTCTGACTTTAGTATGTATAACTTCCTACACCATAAAGGAACATAATTAAATTGGTAAGGATTAATTTTCTGGTAAAGCTTCTCAGGATATTAGTTGTGCCAAGACTTTTGGGCCTTCACTTACCATAAATACTTAAATTTTATATAAGGTTCAGTTTGGAATTTGTCATGGTGACTTGAAGACACTTAAGTCAGCTTGACAGTTCATGTGTAATATGAAAGATAACTGACCAGCAGTAGGTCATCAGTTACTGATAGTAACTTAGTAAAACTTAATAATCATATTATGAGCAGCCAAACAAATTTTTATACAGAATGAAATTATGCTTTCCATACTTTAATGTGCTCTTGTTACGAGGACTGATTTATGCAGTAATCCAGCATTCCATAATGGTGCCAAAAATAATTGTAATTTCGTTTTCTAAGTCTGAGGAATTTCAGTATTATGTAGTTCTTGTTTCTGATTGTTCAAATGCTCAAATGTTTGCAGTTTATTTGTATTTGAATTGCACTGATGAGAAGTCATGTGAATTAGCCTGTAGAATGATAGTATTAACAACTTTTCTTTCAATCATGACCTGAAATAACTGATAATGTCATTTAATACAAAAATATGGGAAGACAGGAGGTTTGAAAGGGAATTCAAAGAAATGAATGGGAAATGTATAGGGATTTGGGAAAATAAGCTTTCATTGACTATTGTCATAGTTTTGGGAATTGGGTGGCAGAAATAATGTAACATTCCCATAAGGTTGACAAATGATTGAAGATATATAAAAGCAAAGCAGTTTTTTGATAAATATTTTCTACATTTAAAGCAATTTTTAAATTCATATTTAAAATGGAAGTGTACATAACAAGTATAATCTGTAATAACTAACTCATCACTGTTTCTTTCATCATCTGCAGCAGAAGTAAGGTACAGCATCAGAATTCCTTTATAGTCAGAACCTGTCTTCTTATATTTTATGACAGGAAGATTCCAACTATTACAATAGAAATTATGCAAAAATGATTGCTTACCATTAATAATAGTAAGATGAAGAAGAAGAAGAAGAATAACTAAGGCAAATTTTGGTTTTAACAGTACATAAACAACAAAATGGAAAGGTTTCCATCAGAAAGATTAGAATTTTTGCATGCATTTGTGTTGTGAATGGTGACTGATTGTGTGATTCTTGTATGGAGAGATGATGAGCATTATGTAACTTGTGTTCTGGTATGTTGCAAGGAAGCAGTTCCATGTTTTTTAGTGTGTACATTTTTCATTATTTTTATAGTATAAATATATATGTAAACATAATGTATGGTGGTGTCATAGTGTTGTAAGCAACTGTTTGGACCAAGTTGCCTGCAGCTGCATTGTTATTACAGTGCAGCAAAATTTGAATCCTGCAGTTTGTTTTGCTGTGAGAGACACACAAGTATGAAGAGAAAGAGTTCTTACAGTGTGTTTTTTTGTTGTCTTATCATGTGTGGCATACTTCTTCACAATAAAAAGGTAAGCCATTTTTACAGTGGTATTTCAGAAGTTTGTTACTTTTAAATCAAACCTGTGGAAGCCAGTGTTTAATTTTTGGTTGTAATATGGATGTATATAATGTTATAACTAGGTTACTGCCACAGCTGTTTGGCCTGCTTTTCTTGTCTTGTTATGCCTTCTTTGCATGATGTACATAAGTAGAATGCAGATGAGGGGGCTAATGTCTCTCTATATGTCTGTGCACATTTCAACTCAAAACTGTTGGACAAATTTTTCATAAAATTTTATATGAATGCAGTACCATTGGAGGCTACCCTAAGCACATAGTCCTTTATTCTGCAGTCAGTAATAAGCAGGCGCACAAGTTCCACTTTGTAAATTCAGTAACTGTAATAACAACAGTAACAAAAGTAAGCAGAGTTGTATTTAATACTGTTAACATCTTCATCACAGTTATTCATTACAACCAAGAGCATTCAGAATGCCAAGATGCAAAGACTGTCTGTTCCCACCCCTCTAATAACCAAATAACAACTCAACAGATTTTCATGGAACTTGTTATGAATATCTTGCTGCTGTTAGAGATCACCTCAGTTTTGTACTGTGTGTGTATCAACAAGGATTCTCTTCATGAATGCTCTTGACACTATTCAGAATGAAAACGGTTTGGATGAAATTTTAATTAGAGAGTGAGTTGGGCTGGCTCAGTTTGTTGAATGATGAGGTATTAAATGTATTCATGTCAATCAGGATAGAGACCAGTGGCAGGCTCTTGTGAACAGAAATTTTTCTGAATAAACATTTTCCACGAAAATTACAACAGGGAGACTACTGTTGGCAGTTATTAGCAGAATTAATACTACTTGCAACCAGTTAATGCATACCTATAATTACTCACATCTCTTCTGGCAGTCATAATAGTTTTGCTGCACTGTGAGCTGTAACTTCAATAATCTAGATGCTTCTGATATATAGAACTTACAGATTTCTTCTATGCTATATTAGTGCTTTTGAAACTTTGCAGTTGTTCTAAAATTACCTTCACACATGAGGGGGCAATGTCATAACCATATCCTAATTCTTTATAAATAAGCTACAGACAATACAAATCAAAGTTTGTTGTTGAGCAAAATGTTCTGCTCAAACTTTACAAATAATGGAGTATTAGGCATTGGTAGGTAGATAGATAAATATGGTGAAAACAGAGCTGGGACAAAATTTTCTGTGATTATTATTTACATTTATTACAAAACCTACCATGCTAATTTGTATCAATACAAAGTAAAAAATGAAGGAAACAAACTATTTTTTGTACTACAAGAAGCATATGCTATCTTGAAGTTAAGCAGTTAATGAGGGGTATCTTTTGTTCTAAAAAATGTAAAATTTCTTTTAATCAAGTTAGAAGCATGTATTAAACCCTCTAAATTTATTAACAGAACCAGCTCAATTCGAGGTGGGCGGGGCATGTAGCACGATTGGGGGGACAAGGAATATGTATAGGATATTGGTGGGAAAGCCAGAAGGAAGGAGACCACTGGGAAGACCAAGGCATAGGTGGGTGAACAATATTAAAATGAATCTTAGAGATGGTATTGATTGGATTGATCTGGCTCAGAATAGGGACCAGTGGAGGGCTCTCGCGAACACGGTAATAAACCCTCGGGTTCCATAAAATGCTGGGAAATTCTTGAGTAGCTGCAGAATTGGTGGCTCCTCCAGAAGGGCTTAGCTCCATGACTAAGTAAGTAAGTAAGTACCAGCACAAATTCACTGATTACTCCTAAGGTTCTGCAGCTACATTCGTGGCCCCTACCACTGAAGAACTGTGATGTATATACTGTATGATTTTGCTATCTTGTGTGTTTTAATACCAGAGCTACTCGATCAATTCAGAAGGAGTGATGTTAATTGGTTTTCAGACTTTCAAAGCATGTAGTTGGACTGGAATAGACTTAGACTAATAATATGATGCCATCTTTAGCAGAACAATGATTCTCATCTGTGGGCAATACTCATCTTTCATGTTTCTTTCTTTCATCTTTCATATTGCCTGTCATAGGATGATGTTGAATACAAAATGATCTCCATTTTTTGAAAACACAAGAAAAGTGATGCATGTAGTGACATTTTTAAAAAGGGTGATTATAAGGTGACTGAATTTTACAGTCTGATTTAAATACAAAAATACACTCATATTGTAAGGCCAGTTCTAGTTCTCTAATAAAACTTACAGTATTGATTACTGCATTTCTTTACTCAGCTGTTTTTGTAATACATCTTATAAGTATAATCTTATAAGTAGGGACATGGATATCTGTCATGTAAAATTAGTAATTAAAAGCAAAATGAGGATAAACTTGAGTATTCCAAATGGCAGTATTTGATCTTCAGCTTCTAGTACTAACCTTAATAACTACTCGTAGGATTAATATTACTGAATATTGTGGCCTGGTCAGAATGACTCAAGTCACTGGAGTTAGCAGTTTCTGAGGGGCTAAACGGAGTAGATTTCTTCCCCCAAAACCTGAGGACAGAAACATCCAGTTCCCAAGATGATGGTCAAAGTCCAAAAACCCAGTAATTCTAAGTGTTATACACCATCATCAGAACCTTTTAGAATCTAATTACATTCTAGTGGTTGGCAGTCTTCATATTCAGGAGGTCATAGGTTTGAATCATAGCTGGTAGATCAATTCCTGACTTATATTCCTTGTAATTTTCATCAATTTCTATACACTATGAAATAGTGCTATAATAGGCCATGACCACATCGCATCTGAAGCTACAGCTGTGGTTATGAAGAGTTCTATCTTCTGAGATATAATACCAAGTAGTCCTTTGAAAGTCAACCAAAATTTGGAGGAACATGTCATCTCCATCTTCAGGGTCGAAGAATAAGCCAAGCAAAAAACCAGTGGCTCCTTGCCACTGCTTTCATTCTGGTTTCTTGGCTTATTGTTTGTAATTACAGATAATGAGCATTCAGTAAATTGAATAATCAATCCACACCCTGTGTCCAGTCACTAACAGATGACAGTATGTTAGCCACACAGAAAAATGGCTAATTCCTTACACCATTCTGTATATATGAAAACCTCTGTTCCCAGCTGTCCTCTTTTCATACTTGCTAAATATATTTTCTGCTCGTTCTTTTCAGTACATAAGAAATTAAATTCTCAAAACCGGGTCCAGCCTACCATTCTGCTATCAATGTGATAGCAAGCTGTAGAATTTCCTTCAGAGCTTTGACAGTTTCTTTGTCCTGTTTTCTGATCAACGGTTCTTAGCCAGCTGTCTCTACCAAGGAACAGATTTTTAGATCCTGCAAGGAAGCCCAGTACATATGCACTCATATAATGTCACTGTTTCTCCAGGAGTCTATGGAGAATGCTGTGTAGTAGACAATTTAGATGTATGTTTATTAACAAAATTATGCAGTGGTCCAAAACGTATGACACAAACTCCGTCCTAAGTGCAACAATTTATTGTAGTTCGTCTTCTTTTCTGCTACACTACATGTTTCGGCCGTAAATGGCCATCATCAGGTGTATTTTTCTCACGTTTGTGTCATACATTGTGTAGAGTGTAACAGGATACTTAAATATAATACAGTGGTCAAAAATTAAAGAATGTATTAAACATTGAACATAAGAAGGAAGTCTTGAATTTGAGAGACACAGGTGTTAGTCTGAGAACAAATGCTCACCAGTGGGGTGTAGCAACATCAACAGTTGGAAATGTTAACAAGAACAGGAATATGACTCTGAGGGCTTGAGAAGAAAACTGAACCAAAAAAGGATACAAAAATTAATTAGAACACCATGAATTTGTTAAGTCCTCAGTCTGAAATGTTGCAGAAATGTTTCACAGTGAACAGTTAGTTATAAGGCTAACAGCTATGCATGTAGTAGGCTCATCTGCACTGTGTAATAGCTATCAACACAAAAATGAAAACATTTAACATATTTTCTGTAAGTTGACCACCTTCTTAATTTGAATGTATTTGAGTCACATTTTGGTATGTTCATATGTCAGATTCAGTCATATATTCTAGTAGTGACTGTAATGCTCTAAAATATTTTCATAAACTTTTACAGTTAACACTGAAATGAACAAACGTGTTCAGAAATGAGCCCAGAAACTTTCATTATAGTCAATGGATACAAAATCTAGATTCTGACTGTTGCACTAAGGTCAACTAGACAGATGTGTGGGATGGTTTTAGTGCCCACTCGATCTCTGGGAATTAACCGAAGCTCGGTACCATGCTTCAAGAAGACATTACCTTCAAAAAAGAGAAATACAGTAATTAAAAAAACGTGTGTCATAACAGATAAGAATATTACTATGTCCCTCTGTTTATACACACTTGAGGTTTGAAAAGAAATACAATTTTATTCACGCATGACAGTGAAATTATTTGTGATGATTATATAAAAACACAAGTTTAGTACGTGGAAAGAATTGCAACTAATAAAATAAATTAAAATTAGTAATGATGATATTTATGTAAACATATACTGTAATATTATGACATTATGGAGCCATGAAAGGTGTACTGCTGCAGTTATTACAACTGGCCTCTGGATCCTATACCTGAAATCAGTTAATTCAATCTACCACAAGTTTCAACTTTTCATTATACAAAATCTTTTGTTTCTTAGTTCTTTGTGTTTTATACCCATTTTAACTTCCTTGATTGAATTAGCGCGATAAAAAAGTAAATACTAGGCTTAGAAACCATGAAATTCTTCATTGTGAGAATCGTTCCATTTTGCTAACAGTTCTTATCTTACTCGATACTAAATCCAAAATTTTCAATATTAAGCCACTGACATACTTTGATAGTGATATTACATTTGTGAGTCCAGGTTTATGGCCATGAAGTGTGAACATATTAAAGTGGAAATAGTTTATTCACTGAATAACAATGATTTATCCATAAAAAGTTCCATGATACTTTTGAGGCATTTAGAAATCATCTGCTTTAGGTATTTTGAGTAGACAGAATGAAATAGTTTCCCAGAGGATTAAATTTCTCTTATTTCATATGTACCTCATCTGAAGAGGAAAATAGTTTTTAAATTTTTTGGCTGAGTTTATTTTTTTGGTGAAGATACCTACCTGCAGTTTGTTGGGGATTGATCCCAATCCCATCATCAGTTATTATTGCTGAAGTTGCTGGTGGGACTTTAAATTCTTCAGCAGCAAATTTGAGCACTGCAGTGAATGGTGTGTTTTCTGGAACACTCAACCTACATGAAATAAATCCATCAGGTTGGAGTCAATTTCTTATCTTTGCTGTTGGAAACGAGACATTTTGCCAAGACTGGCAATCCACACTGTCTTTCCACTTCCACCCATACACTACAACCTGGCTGAGACTTTAAATCCTGTAATGTCCGTCTCATATAATTCCCAGCTAAACCCCAAGATTCCAAAAAACATCTCACTACATTAACTAAATCATCAAATGAAAGATCTGCAATCAGTTTAGCACTCTTGTCAAGATGCCAAATACAATTTCTCTCTGTAAACTCAATGATCATAGACTTTCCAATATAGACAATAAATTTTATCAAAACAAAAAGTATCTCAGGGTATAAATCACAGACTGCAACAATCAAACTTCTACTGGTAACAAGAACGGCATGCCAAAAAACAGGATCCCTTTCATTCTCTATACTCATTTTCAATACAAGTGATTCTGTTATTATCTTCTTCATAATCTTTACTTCCTCGTTGTAATCTTCCTTAACCAATATTCTCAACACAGAGTCTAGAAATCTGCTGTCAGTACAGGCTGAACGGATACAGTTCGAAATGTTGGATTTTTCTCCACATCGTACATACTTTGTCCAAATTGACTTCAACAGTTCACAACCTAATGCAGACTTATATTTTTGTAGTAAAAATGTTGTATTAAGTTCATCAATAACACTTGTAACTGCATCATGTGTATGTTTTTTACATATCAGTTTCTCCTTTAACAAATGAAACCTATCTCTTCCACAGATATGTAAATATTCATTAGTGGCACTTATCAACACTTCATCTGTAACTCTGGAAGTTATGAAGAAGTTAGACAGAATCAGATCACAAGCAGCTGTAAACTCCTGCACTTTATAATGTGCTGTGATGCCATATTTAATTTTGTGCCACTCTATGAGTTTATTTTCAAATGCTGTAACACAACCTTTAGTCTCCAATACAGAACATATATTTTCAATCTCTTGTGCACACTGGAAAGCTTCCTGTATCTCACTTCTGGTCACTCCTCTCATCCATTCACAATGCTCATACTTATCAAGGAAGAAACAGAAGCACTCAAGAATCTGTCTCATGCTGTGTACTTCAATACAATGACTCTCCATTATGCATTGAGCCTGAGAATATCACTTAAATAATGATGCATCATCTGTCAAGAAAAATGGAAACAGCCTGTCAATTATGTAACATTTTCACTTCCTTTGTAAATAGAATAAAAACACAATTATTTCTGGGAACCACATGACACGGGATCATTTGGAATGAATAAGAGAAGTCCCAGTTTGCAGTTATCTTCAAATCCTATGCTTAATACTGAATCACAAAGATACCATAGATCCTGAAGAATTCATTGTAGTAATGATCGAAGATGAATAAAGTTCAATTCTGATGTACTATTATGCTGTCTTTACTAAACAAAATTATAACCTGCTAAGTATGGGGCCTTTGGCCTAATCATTTTTAATTTTGTCATTAAGCTAAGTTAACATCATTAGCGTGGTCTCAAAAGAATATATGAAAACGGAAAAACAAGAAGTTACTGCCTAGACACACTGAATTTTCTGCCTTTTTTTTGCATGCAATAAAATAAAAAAAATTAAGTTATTCACTTCCATATCCTACTCCACTACTAGATTAGAAACCTCACATCTATACCGTGTAGCTACCACATACAACTGTCATCTGTCTTGTACCTCAACATCTAATGGTTATTGTTTATGCTCGTTTTATGACCTATGAATACCTGGCACCATACTATGGAATTTAAAAACCTTCAAATTCTATCATTAGTCATTTATGCAAGTGTGGTCGAAAATTCGATGCTCTGACGAAGAACAACTGCCTAAAACATATTCGGAAGGCAGCACAAACAAATAATCATTTGGAGGGAGGACAACTTAAATAATGGTTGCATTTGTTTCAGGTTTCTCCCGAGTACTTTACAAAAGATGATGATGAAGAAGAAAATAACATCCAGATATTCGGTACTTATACTCACACTTTGAAAGGCAGTTTGGGATCGGATGTGAGCGTAATCTTGAATGTCACCTTCGATCTGAAACAATATGGTCAAAGAGAAAAGTACGTCCATATGCAAAATAATTACACAAATACTGACTATGTTTCAAAACTTAAACATAGTTGTACATTAGAGAGTATACAGTAGCTAAAACGAAAGGATGGAGCTTACGCCATTATTTCTTCTGTATCGCCAAGAGTTTGTTGAAATTAAACTTAACCTCAATATCTGACACGTTCAAACCTACAACATCAATGACATCAGCACGGAACAAACAACACCATCAGTGCCATCAGTGTCTCCAAACCTCCAAACCACTCCAAACGTCCAACAACCGGTCCGCTTTGTTGGTTCCTTTATAGCAACCACAGATCAGTAGCATAGATATACATGTTTTTGGACATTATCGTCCTGTTTATTTCTCAAAATAACTGTGATTCAGTGGGGATTTTTAAGCCACACGGAAGACACGGAATCCAATTACTGTACATAATCTGTGATCACGAAGATCACGAGCTCACGAGCATCACGAGGATCACGAGTCAGGGAAACAATTGCGTGCAGGATCTAGTTGTAGCCTGCCACCGCTGGTGTAAAGGGCATGATGTGCGTGTGTTATGTTCCCCATTAAACATGGCCACAACCAGGGGTCTCGTCGCTATTTGTGGTAGTCGACATGTTAATTTAGTTGTATTACAGTCGATAAATAAATTTCCATGCCGATATTTTCATAAATGTGCAGAATGCGGACGAATCTACAGCTCATCATTGACTGCAGTTGAAGTGGTGAAGAATGTAACAGCAGCTAACAAACGTAAGGACGGGGTTATTAGTAGAAACACATGTTCACCGATCATTTTATTCCTGTATATTACAGGTTAGGATATGGTATGAGGTTGTTAATATGGGAGTTTGTTTTGTCATAAAGGAATTTAATATAATCCACATTTTAACTGGTTCTAAAAGGGGTTAAATTACAAGAGTGAATTTTGTAGGTGCAGTTTTGGGAGATAAATGATCCCACCTTTCAAGTAATATGTTTGAAATAAACCGGCGTTTTGGCTTTAAAAAAAGTTGAGCAGAGCTCACAGGTATGTCCTCATGTTACAGTGAATTAAGTCTTTAAGAAGGTTTCTGTAATATTTTGGCCTGCAGTACCAGTGGATAGTTGGATAAGCAAATCAATGTATAATGTAAAAAAAAAAAAAAAGAAAGTAAAGCTATCCCTGTAACAGGCCGTGAAGGCCCGTAGGGTAGTGAGACGTCGAGGCTTCCAAGCTATCCAGACAATCGGCTCAAAGATGGCAGTAAGGTTGTCAGAGATTGGACTCCAACTTCAGGTAAAATCCTATTCAGCCATGCGAAATTGATAGAGGTAGTCCCTATCTATGGACCTTTTTTCCTTCCCCCCCTCCCCCCACACACACACACATGAAGCCTAGCACCTATTGTCATGCATAATATTATTGCCAGAATTCATAAAATCAGAGTACTATCAAAATAGAAGCCAACATTGAAGAGAGAAATTCTAAAAAAGAAGAAAATATAAGATCAATGATGGGACATACTCTGTTGACCTATGAAATCAGAGATAAGACAAAGATAGATATACATTAGGTACAGCAACTCTCAAAGATTAAAGCTACGACAGACAATTTCTGTACACCAAGTAGGGCATAACAGACGATAAAACAAAGGCTTAAATGAGGCATCTGAATAGTATCAACATAAAAACACTATTTCTGATCTCTTGATTTGGTGCACCTGAGTACTTGAGGGTGGAGGCAGAGTTCAGCCTCCAAAACGTTTTTAAATTTAAAAAAAACAGGATAATGTCAAAAAGGTCAAGGACTGTATGAACATTATTAATTTCAATTTGAACTCTTGAATATGTGTTTCACTATAATTTTGCCTGTTGTGTTGTATGGGTGTGAAACTTGGTCTCTGACATTAAGGGAGGAACATAGACTGAGGGTGTTTGAGAACAGGGTGTTGAGGATAATATTTGGACTGAAGAAAAATGAAGTGACAGGAGGCTGGAGAAAACTGCATAATGAGGAGCTTCATAACTTGTACTCTTCTCCAAGTATAATTAGTATGGTCAAGTGAAGGAGGATGAGATGGGCAGGGCATGTGGTACAAATGGGTGAGCAGAGGAATGCATGTAGGATATTGATGGGAAAGCCAGAAGGAAAGAGACCACTAGGAAAACCAAGGCAAGGGTAGGTGGACAATATTAAAATGGATCTTAGAGAGATAGGATGGTATGGATTGAATTGATCTGGCTGAGGATTGGGACCAGTGTAGGACTCTTGTGAACATGGTAATGAACCTTCGGGTTTCATAAAATGCTAGGAAATTCTTGAGTAGCTGCAGATTTGGCGGCTCCTCAAGAACGGCTCAGCTCCATAAGTAAGTAAGTAAGTAGGTAAGAATATGTGTTTCATAATCTTTGCTGACACCCATTCTTTCTCATGTCATTTATCTTTACGATGAACGTTTACTGTGGGAGGAGTTATACTCAACTCTCGATTATCCGGGATAATGGTGGGAATGGAAATCACGATTAATCAAAAACCCGGTTAAGACAAATTTTATTGAAAGTAGTACTGTAATACTGTACCTTCATAATACTATAGGCCTACCTGTATTTAAATTTATTCAACCTCATTTTTATGTCATCTCATGGCCTATTTAATACTCTTTTTACATTACACTGAAGTATGAATTAGTTATTTCAATCACAGTGTTCAACAACATCCAAAACTTTTTATGAATATTCATATTTAACACTTAAAAAAATTTAATATTGTCGTTTGCTTTTTTGCAGCATTTTCCTTTTTACAAATATCCGTACGAAGTCTACGTAATATTAGCTTGTCACTTAATAAACTCTTCTCTTCACTCTCAAGACAGTCCAGTAAGGATTCCAAATGATTAAGAGCAGCAGCATGTGATATTTTCTTACTAGCAGCAGCGTCCACATCTTCCTCATTCTCACTTTCTTCCCGCTCTTCTGGCCGCACCCCCACGGAACTAACGATTTCGTCACTGCTTAACATTTCGAAGCCCGGTTCACACGAGTTTCTGTTCAATACTTATCACAACACGCTTCCTTTTACACCCTGACATTTTGCTAATGCACAAAGAGACTAACTCGGGCAGTCTATCTCTCCTTGAAACTTTCCACAAATCCTTGCATTCTTTCACCCCTACTCCACAACATTGTGTTAGCATAACGGGACCAAAAAATGCAGAACTTGGTTCACACTAGTGCGAAAATAGTGTTAAAACTCACCATGTGAAACAAAAGTGAATGAATATTAAATAACATATAAGCCTCAAAAGAGCACCGGTTAATCCGCAAACCGGTTTATCCGCCCCCGGATAATCGAGAGTTGAGTGTACTTTCATTAATGTCACCATTGTATGAATATTATTTCTAGATGATACCATATGTGCTTATTAGGAACGTCTTAGGAGAGAAATCGATTTGTATGGCATAAGTTAACTAAAAGCCAGCAAGTTGTACTAATGGGATATTATTATTTCTGATGTCATGCCTACGATAAGGATATGTGCCTTTGATACCATTCAAAAGAAAAATATGTGTAGATTTTACTGGCACAAATAAAGATGGACATAATATGACATAAGCCCTTCTTGCCAAGCATGAAAAATATAATGACTTGGTTTTTATAGCTGTTGTCCAAATATTGTCTCATGTCACAGTACAACTATGAGACTTTGAATGGAACTTGGTTATGCTGTCAGAGAAGACATAATATTATTGTTGAATTTAATATTTGTAGTCGTAAAGGAGATAAGCACAAGAGTTGCCTTCATGACTGAAGCACAGTAACTACTTTGCTTCCAGAAAAAGCTGTTTTGCTCTAGTAATATTTTGCTGCGATCATTTTTTAGATGTGTTTTGTTGCAGTGCCTAAGCTGCTGTTAATTCTGATATATATGTCTTTTCATTTGCTTATGATTGTGTTGCTGTGGATCATTTATGTTAACATTAGATACTGTGAAAGTTCATGTATATTTTTTCAGAATCCAGATGGTTTTTTCTCATTTATTACTAGTTTTACTGATACAGTTTATAAACCTGGCTGTCCATTCTCGATACAGCCAAGTTTTCTTTTCATTGTCATAAAATCCTCTCCAAGTGCTCCTTCATGTTTCTGTATATATGTGTCTCTGAAACATTATGAGTGACTGTAAGCTACAGCAGTGCAGATGAGAAGAAATGATTTCTTCATCAAGCATCCAAATATTATGCATAATACTGGCCATGAATGTCCAGTTCATGTTTTAAGAACAGAATTTCTTGTTTTCCTTTGGATGTAAATGTTTCCTTTCCTGATTACTTATGATGGGCCATACTGAGTACTATTTATGTGTTGGGCTAGCAAATTGTTTTATGTGGGTGAACTAGTCTGTTCTGCAAGAATGAGGGTGCAACCAAATGTAATTTCAGTTTACTAATTCTCAAAAGATTAATATGTGCTGCTGTTAACAGTAGTGCATCTTTCCATCTACTGCCATGTCACAAATATGATGATAACGGAAACCACTCACCAATAATGAGCTGCTCATTGTAGGTTATACAAACTGCCTGTTACAGTGTGAGTATATCAGATACCACTGCCAGTAGAGGGCCGACCTCGCCAGCAGAAAGGGGCTGATAATGGGCACCAGTACCGGTAGGGTATGGAGACAGTAGAAATTAAAGGGGGATGCACAATGGACCAATAACTGGTCTGAGTGCATGGGGAAACCCACATCCTCCAACAGTGAATGAATGAATACAGTGTGTGTAGAATTATCTTGAACACATTTTATTGATACTGTGCAGGACATTTAACAGCGGGAATGGTATCTTTTCATCGATATTTCCACCAGTCATCAACACACAAACAAAAGAAAAGGGACTACTATGAAATTCTTGGCGTTTCACGGAATGCATCAGCAAAAGACATAAAAAAATCTTACTACCAGCTGGCCAAAAAGTACCATCCAGACACAAATAAAGGTGATCCGGATGCTGGACGAAAATTCCAAGAAGTTTCAGAAGCTTATGAGGTAAGTGTGTTCCACAAGTTTATTACTCTTTAGTAATAAAAAGGTAGAGTTTTCCCCGTGTTTTCCCTGCACTATGCCATGAAGGTGTATGTGGGAGTGGATCTACAGATCCGGCTCAGCTCTTTAGCAGTAGGAGNTTCGCTTGCAGATTTCTTATATTTTTTCTTCTACCCTGAAGATGGAGGCGATACGTTCCTCCGAAACGTCGGTTAACACCACATATACACGGTGCCAAATCCCAGAAGACTGCTTTCTTCATAGTCACCGCCATGAAAGCCTCAAATCTTACACAGTAGGAGTACTTATTCAACATGACTGCTTGTAGCAGTCTGTGCTGGAATGTGTGTTTTTGTCACAAAAACTAAGCATCTTTCATTTCCTTAAATTGTTTATTATGTATGCCTAAATCTTATTATAGCCATTGAGAGGAATTTTTCTAACACTCCGTAGGCCATCTTTCTTTCTTTCTTACTGTAACTTACTTGATTATTTACAATATGTATGTTGCTAATAATCGCTAATGTGTAATTCTATCTAAATTCCAGGAGGAGAAAATTCCATTCTTCCTCATTTACAAAAGGAGAGTTAAAACATTTTCACCACCACCACTCCTGCCTCCTCCCCCTTTTCTCTGAGAATGCTGCTGGCTTCTCAGGAGGTTCTTTGTTATCACAGAATGTTTGCAAAAGTTGGTGTGCTCAGACACTTATATTGATGATGGCAAGCAGAAGTCAGTGGTTGCCAGGCCGACCACTGAAAACTGAAAATTTTTGACTGCAACCAGCTTCCCACTTGGCCATCAAAAGTTTACTTTTGAATTTCTGTCAGTGTCACTTAGCCACAGCGTATAAGCTCACACAGATCACTGATCGTCTTTGCCATTCTTATGCTTGGCTTGGGATGTGTAGATCAGAGAGTGTCACAGCAGGAAGAAATTAATTTTGAGTGCCAAGCAAAGGCAAGAGGCATAGCAAGGTACTGGAAAATAATGATCAGTCTTTGACGTTTTCTGGAGACCACAATGTTTGTCTTAGGTATTCAACATTTTTTCCACCTCTGATTTTAAGAACTCATATTTGTTTGTGTGATGGTACCCGCCAAAAATTTGACTTTCATGTTCCTTTAGTAAGTAAAACTAAAGTTCAAAAAGGAGTATATTATTTCAGTATTACATTATTTAACACTCTACCCCTCAGTATCAAGCAAGTTGCACATGAAATTAATAAATTTAAACAAAATTGATAAAGTTTCTTATAGAAAACTCTTTTTATTCTGTTGAAGAGTATCTTGGGGTATCGCAGTAATTATATCTTTGTATTTTAGTTTGCATTCATTTGTTTCTTATATATATTTTAATTGTTATTTATCTTATGTTGAAGACAATCTTATGTAATATATCTGTAATCTACTAATAGTTTATATATCCATTGGTTATGTACCTGAATGGATTGATGAATGATAACAAAAATAACCAATTCCATGAACAGAGACCTTCTCGAGACGTTTATATTCAAGAAATTCACAGATTCTTTCTAAAGAACCTGAAGGTTCAATACCAAATTGAAAACAGCCATCCAAGGCCTTATGTAAAATTTTATGACATTTTTTTACAGTTAGGCATTCTTGACACCCTCCAACAGTAGAACATCCCTTGTTTGCTGTATGCAACTGTTTGTTCATTACATTCATGAACACCCCAATATCTGACGACCGTCTCCTCCATTTGCATCCTTGAGGATCTACCATCCCTCAATGACAAAGGCTCCTAATTTCCTTTTTGGCAGAATTTTACATATGATTTGTGCACTTTTGGGCCCTGAATATGATTTATAAGAGAGTAAATTATGTAAACAAATATGTAATGAATTGATTATCTTATTTATTCTGAAATTCTTTGTCAGATTTAACCCCAGTGGATTTTTCTTGTGGGGTTATGCGAAGAATAGGCTGGGGTTAAATCTGGCAACCTAGGAGTCCAAACAGTTGGGCTATGTCTGCCGATCCATCACCCAGGTATCTCTGTCCAGGTGATTCCTAACATGGTGGCAGAAATGTGGCAGTGCATGCGAGTAAGCCGGGCATGAATAAAAACTTTCAGAGTTTTCCTTTCTGATGACATAACCCGGATACGTGTATGAAAATTAGTTTCTGAGATTTAATTTTTTCTATTTTAGATACCTTTCATCCAGACACCTGGTATTTGAGTAGGATACATAAATACATTAATATTTATTTGTAGCTTATATAATGACAGTGTGAGTAGCTCAGGCTGTATAGCATCAAGAATCAGAATTAATTCACAGTACAGCAGATCATACGTTCCTGTCTGTGTCATTTTCTTTGAAAGTTGAATCATTACTATATGTCACTTATTGCAGCAATTATCGATTGATCTGTTTATTGTAATTTTCTGTAATACATATTTTGTCCTCTAGGTACTCAGTGATGATGCCAAACGCAAGCAATATGATGCATGGGGTACAACTTCAGAACAGATGGGAATGGGTTCTGGGGGGATGGGTGGGGCAGAAGGACAAAGATTTAGCCAAGGCTGGCAATTCAGATCCTCCATTGACCCAGAGGAGCTTTTCCGGAAAATCTTTGGAGATGCTGGCTTCAAGACTGGTGGATTTGGAACTGAATTTGAAGACTTTGCAGAATCTAGTTTCGGATTTGGTGCTGCTCAGGAGGTAAGAAATATTTGACATGTCCAAGTTGTCCAGATGCTATATTTGAGTGCATGTTATGGTGTACATACCTTTAAGCCTGTTTCCAAGAAGCTGTGAAGGCAAGCTCACGGTAGTGATCTTAGAAGACTGTGGATGGTTTAAATACTTCCTTTTACTTACCTCTTAACAGTGGAACCAGAGAGCTTTGTCAGTATAGTGACTAGGCTGTGAGCTTGACAGCTGAGAAATTGGGTTTCGATTTCTCTCAGATGAAAGAGATTCTTCTCTTTTCCACACAATCCACACTGGCTCTGGGCCCCACCCAGCTTCCTTTCCAGTGGCTACCAAGAGGTCCACCCCCAAAGGGCGTGAAAGTGACTGACCACTCATATTCATCTAGTGCTGAGGTTAATGTGTGGATCTGCATCTCCATTCTACCATACATCTTAATGTTTGTGCCTGATTAAGTACTGGGTCATCTTCACCCTTTGTCTTTTACCTTTGTGCATCATGGTAGAGCTATACCTCCACTCCCCCATATGCCTTCATTGCATTGTGCTTTATTAATTAAGCACAGAGACAATGTTTTCTTTTTTTTTACCTATTAATATATATATGCCGATAGGAGAATAGAAGAAAATAATAAAACCTGTTTTCTGTAAAAAAATGTCAAAGGATGTCAGTGTATGAAATATATGGAAAAAGAATATGTGTTTATTGTGCAAAGTGGGAAAAAGCACCAAATTTTAGGTACGCCTGCATTCTGGAATGTTTATTTTAAGAGGGGGTTCTCAGCGACTTTAGGTTAAATTGATAAGCTTCATTTATAAATGTGTGGTCATTGAAATTACTGGTGTCCCTCATTTTCTGTTTTCATTGATTTTTTGAAAAGGAATTGAAAGTAGATGGGTCTTGACAGATTTATGAAAGTAGAGTTGTCTTAATTTACATGAAAGAAATAGGTGAAATATAAGGTTTCGTGTAACTGATATCTGTGATGTTATGTAAATAGTAGAACAGATGCTAGAACATCATCGTTTCATGGCAGTCAAACCTATTCTGACTTCGCATATTCATTCCGTATTTTCTGAGGTCTTGTTTGGTCTCAGTGTGCTTTTGGTGTATACTTTAGTATCTGTTTTGGAAATCTTCTGTCAAGCAAAATGAGTACAGTTTTCAGTGATGTCTGCCATGATCTGACCAGTTGCTGAGACCTGAGCTCCCTCTACAATGTATGTTGTAGGTGATCATGAACCTGACATTCACACAAGCAGCAGCAGGTGTTAACAAGGATATTCATGTGAATGTAGTGGACACATGTCCTAAGTGTAACGGGTCACGTTCAGAGCCAGGTACAAAAGCTGTGAGGTGCTCCTACTGTAATGGAACGGGCATGGAAACCATAAGTACAGGTACCTGTAGCAGAAAATAAATTACAAAAGTAAATTAATGTAGTGTAATTGAAAAGAGAAAGCTAATGACTGTAAAACTGACAAATTCTTCTTTTTCTGTCTGATACAATGCAGTAAAGAGCGTCCGGTTGTAAGTCAGCACTGAAAATACTTTCAGATTGTGGTCTTCTGGGCTGTCAAATTGTTTAGTCTTGTAGGTAGAAACTTGGGTATAGATGGGCATGTAAATAAAATGTAAAGATTTGTGATGATGCTACATTAATACAAATATTATGTTTTTGTATCCAGTCTCCGAAAGATTGTGTTATAATAAAAATAGGACAATGGATAGTGTCCAAAAACATAATATTTATATAGAAGTTTATATAGTTTATATAGTTTATATAGAAGTTGAACCGGAAGAAGAAGTAGATACAGACGAGAAAGGACCATATATTTTACAAAGTGAGGTGGAAAAAGCTATCAAGGAAATGAGGAAGGGAAAGGCTACAGGAGATGATGATGTACCTGGAGATGTGCTCAAGTTACTGGGAGAAGGTGGTTTGAAAACACTGACAAAACTAATGAACACCATATATGAAAGTGGAGAGTGGCCCAAGGACTTTACAGAAGTTACAATGATTGCCTTAAAGAAAAAGACAAAAGCTACAAAATGCAGCGACCATCGCACAATAAGTCTTATTGCACATACAGCAAAGATAATAGCAAAGATACTTAAAAGAAGAATTGAAAGGAAAATAGAGGATGTACTTGGAGAAGATCAGTTTGGATTTAGAAGAGGAAAAGGAACCAGGGATGCAATTGGGATGATGAGAATTATAGCGGAACGAACTTTGGAGATAGATGAAGAACTGTGTGTTTGCTTCATAGACTGGCAGAAGGCATTTGACCGGGTAAACTGGACCAAATTAATGCAGATCCTGAAAGAAACAGGTATCGATTGGCATGAAAGAAGATTGATTAGCAAATTGTACATGGATCAGAAAGTTAGAGTACGACTGGACAGGGGGGAGACAGGAAGTGTGCAGATTGGAAGAGGAGTTCGACAAGGATGCTGTTTATCACCAATTCTGTTCAACTTGTACAGCGAATGCCTTACCAAGGAAGCTCTGGATGGGCTCGGTGACTTCAAAGTAGGAGGGCAAATTATTCAAACTGTGAAATATGCAGATGACCTTGTGTTAATGGCTAAGGAAGAAACTGTGCTACAGGGCATGATTGATAGACTAATTGAAATTGGAAGGTGCTATGGCATGGAAATGAATGTGGAGAAAACAAAAGTAATGAAAATTTCGAGACAACCAACCCCAGTCACAATAAAGATAGACCAAAAACAAGTGGAGAATGTGAAATGTTTTAAATATTTGGGTAGCTTGTTAACAGATGATGGAAGGTGTACTTGTGAAATTAAATCCAGGATTGCCATGGCAAAAGCTGCATTTAGCAAGAAGAAGAATCTTTTTACCAGCAAATTGGACTTAAATTTGAGGAAGAAACTAGTGAAATGCTACATTTGGAGCATAGCTCTGTATGGGGCTGAAACATGGACACTTAGGGCAGTAGATCAGAAACATCTGGAAAGTTTCGAAATGTGGTGTTGGAGAAGAATGGAGAAGATCAGTTGGACCGATTATGTGAGAAATGAAGAAGTGTTAATTAGAGTCAGTGAGCAGAGGAATATCCTACATGAAATAAGAAAACGGAAGGCTAATTGGATTGGTCATGTTTTACGCAGAAACTGCCTTCTAAAAGAAGCTATCGAAGGAAAGATAGATGGGCGGATAGAAGTGACAAGAAGACGAGGAAGAAGACGTAAGAAGATGCTGGATGACCTTGGGGACAGAAGAGGATACTGTCATTTGAAGGAGAAAGCTCTAGATCGCATTAAGTGGAGGAATTGTTTTGAAAGAGACTGTGGACCTGTCGTCTTGACAGATTACTGATGATGATGAGATGGGAGAGATTATTAAAATGGATTTTAGGGAAGTAGGGGGGAAGGTTGTGGACTGTATTTATCTTGCTCAAGATAGAGTCCAGTGGTAGCTGTTATAATTGTGGTAATGAAATTTTTATGTTCCATAAAAAGTGGGGAAATCTTTACCAGCTGAGTGCTGTCAGCTTCTCACAGGAATTGTGCTCCATGCAATTATGTAGATATCGGAAGTTTCAAGAACACCTTAATACAGTAGAGTTTTTATTTTTTTGCACAGTTGCCAATATGAATAGCTCAAAACGCTACCCAGACAGTAAGCGCCATATGATAACTATTGCAGTAGATTTTATTTTGTGAAGTTCTGTCATGTATTCTGGATCATTTTCATTACTTCAGAATTTGGTGGATATTCAGTCAAATTTTGTGGATCTTGTCACTTTGAGTCTCTTTCTTGTACAACGACTAGGTCCATTTATCATGCGATCGACATGTCGTTATTGCCAGGGAACAAAGATGTACATCAAATTTCCATGTGCTGAATGTGAGGGGAAAGGCAGTACTGTGCAGCGGAAGAAAGTCACTGTTCCAGTACCTGCAGGTGAGAAGTGTCATCCATGTGGTATATATTTCAGTAAACAATACTTGTCTGCATATATATTCAGTAAAGTGCCCATAGAGATCATCTATCTAATAATTTAAAAATAGTTGGATGAATATCTAATTTTTTGTATTATTATTGTTGTATTCATTGTACTGTCTAGTTATGTCATATTTATGTATGTATTTTATGCTCTGTATTTATGACATGTTCTATATCCATCTTTGGAGCTCTTGAACTTACAATAAATACAAATACAATACAATACTTAACCCACTAATTCTTTCTTAAATGTAACTTTACCATGAGACATGGAGCCCCAGAATACTAATTTTGCATTTTATTTATTCTGTGCACGAAATATATAAAATGAACATAAGATTGGGAAGCTGTGGTACACTGGAGGGTGCTGGCGGAGCATCTTTTCCATTGCCTGACTTGGAAGTGAAATCTAACTGATAAGGCGGAAAGTGAAATAAATCAGGTCTTCTCAGGAATTATCAGGAGGTGTTACAAATATATTATGGTACAAATCAAAGTTCATATTTTAATATTCTGGCTGAGATTTGAACCAGGGCCCATTGAAACATGGAACTGGAGTGACAACCACTACACCATTGTGTTCAGTGATTACATGTTAGACAAGCTTATTGTGTTACAGGTGTGGAAGATGGTCAGACTGTGCGCATGCCTGTCGGAAGGAAGGAAATATTTATCACATTTAGGGTAGAGAGGTCTGATTATTTTCGTCGTGATGGAGCTGATGTTCACACAGATGCAGAAATTTCACTATCACAAGCTCTTTTAGGTGGAACAATTCGTGTCAGAGGAATCTATGAAGATCAGACAGTACAGGTATAGTAGAGAATTACATATCTTTGGTACTCCAGGGGGAGAGATGTTAATTATGATAACGTAAATTTTATGAAGTAAATGGGGGAACCAGTGGAGGGCTCTTGTGAACACGGTAATGAACCTTCAGGTTCCATAAAATTTTGGAAAATGTTTATGGAGTTGTGTAATGGCAGTGGATATTCATATTACAGTATTATAGATCCACGGTCATGAACACACAGAAGTAGTGGTCATAAATGATGGATTCTAATTAACAGTTGTGTGTAGAAGAGGTTTTTGTAAGCTTAAGAAAATATAACTTCTTGGTTCAAATAATGTTAATGGTGAGAATACTGAATTATTCCTTATTTTCACATCAATATGATAATCGCTTCAAAGAAGAAGTAATATTCCCATACTGCATCTGTTTTTAAACCTTAGTGTCATACTGTATTTTGCATAATTGGAAGTTAGAGAACAGTCTTGTAGGTACTTGAAGAATGCCCTCTTTTGAGATGTGGCGCCGTGTAGGTCTTGTGTGAACCGATGTTTCAGGGGAACATAGCATCTCCATCTTCAGGGTAGAAAATCCGCAAGCGAGGAGCCAGCTTGATCAGGTGGCTGCAGTCTGCAGATGGAGACGATACGTTGTATTTGTTATGTTACTGGAAATGTTGCATGAAATTTATCATTTCCTTCGTTATGAACTAGGAAGTGCTCAATGTCTTTAGGAATCCAGATCAGGTTTTTCATGGTGTCATGAATAGGTTGCTTCTTTCACACTTGCATTGCAGATTACACCTGGCACTTCATCACATACTCGAATAAGGCTGACTGGAAAAGGAATGAAAAACATGAACTCATATGGCTATGGTGATCATTATGTGAATCTCAAAATTTCTGTACCTAGAAAACTAAACGAAAAACAGCGTGCATTAATTCAGGCTTATGCAGAACTGGAAGATGACACACCTGGAATTATCCGAGGCATCACATACAAAAAAGATGGTGAGTGCATCATGTAATGTTGCTAGTTTTATTGTTATACCATATTTACTCACATAATTTACATAACTTTTTTATTCAAACATTTCTGTCTGAGTCTTGTATGTAAAATTTGTGGCTGTTGCTGTTTAATTAAATTAAGGTGAGGAAAATTGTGGCTCCATAATAATGACAAAAGCATGAAGTTCTTTTTTTTTTGTCATAATTTTGAACCAGACTTTGTAAGTCTTATGTTTCTCCATGTCCAACTCTTCTGAATCACTGCTTATTATTGCTAATTTATCATAAAATGATCCAAAAACTCCAGAGTGCTTGATTGTGCTGAATACACTAAGGCTTCTAACACAGAATGTGTTACTGACAATAAAGATTGTTTTGTGACAGTTTCCCTTCCACTGCCTGCTTTCAGTTTCTTGGAAGTGTTGTCCATAATTATTCAGTAGCGATCAGTCCCTCAAAACAAGTATGTGACAAGGCAAAATAATGAAAGGTGAATGCATGCTAATCTTGTCCAGCAGTACCAGATAGCAGCTGCTTCTAGTTTGACTTGAATTATCCATGCAAGCAAGAGTAGCACAAATAGCAGTACTGAGAGAAGTAGTGAATTCCATCTGGCAGTACAGGAGGATGAAACACCTGGACAGTGGTGTATTATATTCATACGGAAATGGCTTTGTTTATTCACTAAGTTAGTTTGCACTTTACAAAGCCATGAATATTAATTATATGTCAGGTTTTGTTCTTGTCATCACAGAGCCCATAGTGTTTAGTTAACAGTTATATATTGTGAGCTTCTAGACTTTGATGCTAACAATTTACTGAATGATTTGTGAGAATATGTCACTAATTCTGACTATAATTCCACATCACTTAACATCATTTTCTCTTCAAGGAACAAACATGACCATGGCTCTTTCTATGCTGTTTACTTATTACTACCCCTGAACTAGTGCTTGCTTAACTGCCCTCAAAGCTTGGTGCAACAACTCTTACCCATGCATCCTAGATGCTGTAATCTTTACTAACAGACTTTCTTAGCAACATCCTGGGTCTCTCCATGAGATTAAATTTAATCAAATGTGATAATTAATCTAATACTGCATGATTACTGGTTCATCACTTACAAAGGAATGTAACCATCCTGTCAGAAAAAGATCTTACAACATGGAGGTCAAGTTAAACTAGCAAAGATGCTCCACTCATACTTGTAGTTGTTTCTGTGGTAAGTTTGAACAGTGGTTGTCAGTCACAGTAGTCATTCTGACCTCACTGTACTACTTCAGTCTCTCCAGCTACCATTAAGCATTGCTACATCTCAGCCAGTTCTATATATCATCCCGCTGAGCATCAGTGCCTATCCACCTCAGTACAGTATGAGAACTTCAAGTGAAATGTGGTTGAAGGGCAAAAATTATGTGAGTTACTATAGTATCTAATATGTTTTGTGATATTTTCTTATCTTATGGAATGTCACTTGGGAGGATGCTTCTAGTTGATGAATTAGAAGTTCTTGTTTCAGCTTTTTCCATTTTTCTTTTGGAATCGGAATTTTAATCATCACATAGGAACAGGATTTTTCATACATACAAGACTCATATCAGCAGTTAAATAGGATAATCAGTGATGGGATGTCACATATATAATAGTAAGAGGTCATTGCTACGATACTGTTGTTTCATATTTCAAATATATGTGCCCATACTTGGCATACAAGTAATGGTACAAAGGACAGCTTTACATGGAGCTAGAACAGGAATGGGTGATTATTTCTGCTTGGCAACCAGATGGAGCTGTTTCAAACTGACTGCAGACCAGGGAGTCTCATAAGAAAAATCTAGTACTTGAAAACGTGTTATATACTTTTCAGTTATATATACTGATTCAGCATAATTTTATATATATATATATATATATATATATATCAAAAGATATAAAAATAATGTTATTAATAATTCCCTTGTACATGATATGGTTTCCTGAACCCTGGTGCCTTCTTGAATTAAACCTAACCCAAAGTGGACCACACTTGCCCTTGCAGTACGGTAAATGGCAGTAATACATATTTATGCTGAGTATCGTGATTTTCTTGCAATTACTGCACAGTTGTTACATGAGGGAGCCCCCGGTTAATGTTCCTGCATGAAGGTTCACCCTAATTTAACATTCACTTCCAGTGAGTAATCTCACTGTTACAATCTTCCATTTAAGATTTTCCTCACACTCCAAAGAGAAACCTTAACTGGAGGTTTCAGTGCACTGTACATGAGAAAGTATAAATTGATGAAAAGATCATACAATTTAAATTTCCAAAATATCACGTGCCTGTAGCAGTACTTCTTCCCACATTCTTGACATTTTGTGATTGGATCTATAGGATATAAATGTCCTGACTGCAAAATAATCGCTCTTGTAACGATTTGCAGTAAATGTGTAGTAACATAACATCATTTGGGGCCCATAGCATCTATACTATATATAGTATGTACAGGTTGCAAGGATATCAACACTTCTTATTGTTGCAAAACTGATGTTACAGTGAGAATACAGTGAATTCTAAATTATTGGTGGTAATGGAGGGAGAAGTGGTGTGTATAATCCTAAGGTCTAGAAGTTCCCTGTATTGATGCTGTGTTGTTCAGCCCTGGAAATATACATGTTACCAGGAAATAATCCCTTTAAACCTACACTTTCCTGGCTGTTTTCACAGTGTCCTGGAATGTCATTGCACATAGACTGTGTATCATGCCCATCACAGATACATACAAAAACAAAAATAATCAGAAGTTGACACACTCAGAAGTAATGTTTTATTTTGAAACCACAGGCCTATTCTGCCATTTTTGTAACTGAATACACAATCAAAATACTGATTGTACCAATTAAGGACAAGAGAAACAAAACAAAATCTGCACCAGTTAAACCTAAATGAAATGTGAATGACTAGGATACCTTTCGCTACTAAAATCTGAAATTAAGTATGGCGCCCATAACAATGCCAGTTAATTAAGTATATTATGATAACTATGAAATCTGTGCAAACTTAAAATCTGTACAGTTACTGGACATCCTCCTTATCGCTACTAGCAGAATTCATACCAAAGCAACTAGTGATATACAAGTGATAGCAAGTACCATACATATCACTTTTAGGAATTTAATGTATTTTAATGACAGTAATTCATACTAGAAAGTCAACATTATTGCAATTAGAAATATTTTGTGGCAATATACTGTCTAGATCACAGGCAACTTGTTTGCTGACTTGTCTAACAGATGATGATGACTGTTGCTTGTGGCTGTTATAAACAGCATTTCTTACCTCAGCCAGTAAATTAGCTTGCATAAAAATGTGCAAGGCAGTTTGCATTGCAGTAGATAGTAATAATGGCTTGAAAGAACAAATATTTGGTTCTCACAGTGGAACAGTGCTCAAACTAATCTGAAAAGAGGAGGGTATCACACACAGATTGTTCACAGGAAGCTGCATTTTATCACCGCAACTGTTTTGAGATTCACATAACAGGAACATGCACAAATGTGGTACCATTTGTCACAACATAAATGATGTGTCAGCAGAGTTTTCGCCAAAGACATTGAAGTTGTTGAAGAAAAGGGAAATTTTTTGCAAGGTGAAAGGAGACACTAGTGCTGTTTATTGGAAGGAAAAATAGAAACTGTATCTTTTCACCAACATGTACCAGCACATAGCGTCAGGGTATTGTGTGGACAAAGAAGTTGTGACATGATGGCCAACAGGTACAGTACTTCTCGGAAAACTTGGACATGGACAAAGAAAAGCTGTTCTTCCACATATTTGACCTAACAGTCTTCAGTGTCTTTATAATTCCCAGCTCATGTTGGTGCACACTCAGACATAAAGGGTTTCATAACAGCACATGGTTTGATTCATACTACACAGGATGTAAACTGCAGTCCTTCAACATCAGGTCATGGCCATTCATCATCACATGCAGTTCATGTTTCCTGCCTTGACTGCAAGAATCGAAATCACTGGCCTGCCTTGATGATATCATCTGTGTGCTGATAACCAGAAAAAATCATTTTACTACTGTGAGGGCCGTAATGTGTGTGTCTGCGTCTATCCGTGTTTTAGAATATATCACACAGTACTACATTACTGAAAGTGTCTTAGGAAGAGTGCATAGTATTTTGTCTAATGCCTCTTTATGTAGAGTACTTGCAGTGCTGACATTATAAGCTGACCTAACCCAGTAACTGTGACTAAGCACATGTGTATAAAAATATGACTGTCTGGGTGCATGATGCAAAAAGCATATCTATTCACAATGTAAGGGAAGACGTAATGGATTATAAGCTCTAGAGATTGCATCATTGTTTTAGGAAGAAACATCGCAGTGTTGCCAGTCTGACAAGACTAGAGGTAAGATAGATTTCCTCCAACACAGCTCACCCATTTTTACTAAATGTTTTGTAATAGCCTAGACTTTCCTCAGACTTAATTTTGTAAAATATGCATGGAATTAACAGATTTACGCAGTAATTACAGTATTTGCAAATCTTCCAATGGCTTTTGTTTTAGTGCAAAATCTAAAATGTAATTAAAATATGGACATTTTAACAAAGGGTGGTGTAGTCACAGAAACTACAGGATTTTAATCTGTCCACACAACTTTGTGCTAGATGCTGAAATCCATGTCTGTTTAGCGTGCTTACATCTGTAATAACATTGGCTTTAAAGGGTTAAGTGCCTAAATGATGTGTATATTAAAGAGGAGTACAGTTACAGTTAAAAGTGTCAAATACTTTTGCAACTTTGACAAACTTAGATGATAAGGTGGATGGGTGGGCGGGCAGGCAGGCAGGCAGGCAGGCAGTCTCTAAGAAAGTGGAAATTTGAAACACAGAATTAAGTGAAGACAACACCACATGCTGCTAGAAGGAACAACGCACAGGCAAGGAGAAAAATTACAGATCGCAAACATGACACAACAATGGGCTTACAAGAGGAAAAACAGGATGCCGCAATAAAATATCTGAAGAAAAGGATGCAGATCAAAACAAGTGGATGATGCCTTTCATGAGATGTAATATATATTTTACAAAATTTGAAAGAAAATTTTAATAGATTTTGATTTAAATTAAGTGAAGTACAGCATGTGCTTTTTAGCGCATACCAATTGACTACGATTGTGACATTTTAAATCATGAAGCATGCAGTCGCATATGTGACAAATGGACAATATTAGTGAAGTGTAGCAGTTTTAATATATTAAGACACCAGAAGATGACCATCTAATGCCGAAACATGTTTTGTTAAAAGTGGAAGCGAAAGAAAAAGGAACAATTTGTTGCGTTATTGATGGAATGTGTTATACATAGACATTTTAATTTGGCGTGCAACAGGAAGCTTAAATACAGAATTGAAATGAAAATAAAAATAAAATGTCTTGTTGTGGTATAAATATGGTATGACTCTTTAACAAATGATTTGACAGTAAAAAAGATGGGAGTATAACGTCTTGTTTGTTTTTCGCTTTCTCTCTCAAATTCTTAGCAGGTAAATTATAATTTGCTGGTACTGCTCAAAAGTACCTGCAAAAACATCCTTTTATTATTTCGTTTTGTTTGTGCAGGGACCAAGAAACAAGGCCCGATGGCCGGGTCCCAAGAAGCCCAAGCGGAACAAAACGACAGTGGAGGATTGCTTGGCAAGATTAAGAAAACCCTTCTTAGGGGTTTAGAATCATTACAGTATGTTAAAAAAAATTAATTAAGGGCTGTGGCTCATTAAGATTGAACAATATCCATTTCAAAACTATATGTAAAAAAAACACCTTTGGAATTGACATAGAGATGAATAATAAATATGGAACCATATGTTATCACATATTTCATGCCACCACCAGTTTGATGGATGAATAAGCGTAGAGATTAGTTTTTCATTGATGATCACATTGATGTCCACTTCTAATATCTTTACTAGAAATGATGTTAGGGGGTTCAGACTTTCTTGGATCTTGTTTGTTTAATTCTTGTAGCATAAACTAGAGAGGAAATGTGTAGGTCACAGCTTCTGAAATGGGAGTGCCATAAAAATAACTGTATCCCCCCAGCATTGCTAAGAATGGAAAATACCAACAAATCCATTTTGAGGTTACAAGTACATAATACACAGACTTCTGCTGCGATTATTCATGACTTGAAAAATTGTGTAATAGAAAACAAGAACAAAACATTCTAATGAATTTATTTCAGTGTAGAATAATTAAGTGGAGCATGACCTGAATCAAATGAGAACTAAAAATTACCCCAAAAGATGAGAAAGATTTAACTTGCGATTATTATATGCGTGCTTTTATAGTTAAAATCTGGGGCAGCAACTTTGATGCATATAAGAGACAGTATGGCATTTGCCTTTTGAGCTTTGCTGATATCATCATTTGAATACCACTTTTAATATCTCTTTATACGTAGTTAATAATGAATGCTTCTTTTGGTTTTTAATTCCTATAATATTCAATTCTGAGCAGATGAAGATGGATCAAAAGTGAAACACTGACTGGACATAATAATTGTCACAAAATTAAGGCCATTTGCAATTTTGTAGGACTTGTATGATAAATGTGTATGCTCACCTGATCTCTCGTTGACTGAAATATGTAGTGGTGACCTCATCTGTAAAAATAAAGGTTGTGGAATGGTATATGATATTTGTTTGTATTTCAGAGAGTCTGTGCCATATGTGTCAATCATATATGCATGCTTAGAAGCTTCAGACTGAAAAATTATAGCATATCTAATCTATAAATGTATATCTGGCTTCTGGCTTGATGCTTTTGAAATTTTGCCATGAGTCTTACCTTTATCTCGGCCTGAATTTTTGTATCACATGGATGATCACGTTTTAATGGGAGCCCAATATATTATGTGCACTGGCAATTGTGACTAATGATCCAGCAACTTTTGTTAAACAGTAACTGTGGTTCAGTTTGTTTTGTGGTTGCAGTAAATGTTCTGTTGGTACAGTGTGACAGATTGTAAAGGCAGAGAATCTGTGTTGCATTTTTAATGACTGCGGTAGCATAATTGGTTGAGGCACTATGCTATAAGCCGAAAGGTCGTGGGTTCAAGTCCCGATGAAATTGGATTTTTTCCAGTTGACCTAATCCTTCCAGCCGCACTATGGCCCTGGGTTCGACTCAGCCTCTGACAGAAATGAGACCAGGAATTAATTAAATAATTTTCCTTGGGAGTAAAGTGCGGCCGGCGCATAAGGCTGACAACCTTACCGCCATCTTTGAGCCGATTGTCCAGATAATGTGGGACCCTCAACGTCTCACAACCCTATGGGCCTTCTCGGCCTGGTACAGGGATAGCTTTACTTTTACTTTACTATGGAGAAAGAATGCCACTGACATTTACAGAACACAGTAGAAGATATAATTTGGGTAGGTGAATTGTCCTCAAGATAGAAAGATGTTAAGGACAATGACAGATTTTACTGCTTGGCTTTGTGGTCCTTGGATTCCTTTACATAAAGTACTCATTCTCAATTATTTGTCTTTTGTCTCATCACTTCCAGCCTTCATATGTCATGCTGTTCATCTTTCAGTCATCTTAGTTTAGGCCTTCACACTTTGTTACTCCCTTTTATAGGTTTTCTAACCAAACTTTTTTATATGTTCTAATTCCAATTTTATTTTAAAGTTCCTGTTCCGAATACATTCAACAGCATTCCAGTAGCAAAATTTTATGTATTGTTCTTACAACTTTTCCTTAGTTGCTTCCAAAAATTATCAGTTTGATATCCATCATTAGATTTCATAACATATACGTTTTTCTGAAGTGAGGTTTCTACCCTCACACACAGTGCCAATTTGATCAGGAACTGCCTTTTGTTTAGCCCCTACTCTTTGACCTGTCTGGCATGGCTGACACTACCAGGAACTTATGCCCCTCTAGCATAGCTGTCCAGGTGATCAGGGCATGCACACTTCCCTCCACATTGTGGAAGTAATCCTGGGAAGCAGAAGAATACTTAGGCTACTGAATCACAAAAGCTGATACTAGTAGCAACTGTGGATAATCTGGTAAGCTACTAGAGAGCAGGGACTTAAAAGATAAAATGTAGAATTTCTTTGTGTTTTGAGGGCATTTTAGAAATAGTTGCTATATATTGTTCCTGTGTGTGATTTCAAAAGCTGTTGTTATTTAATTCCTGGATATATTAGAAGTGCCAGTTGAATGGAAATTTAAATTGTGGACTTTTAAGTTTTCACAATTGTGAGTATCAAGATGACTATTCTGGGACATGAGGCCATGTAGCTTAGTCTGCAGTACTCTTCCACCCTGAAGGTGGACACAGCACATACCTCTGAAGCACTGGTACATATCTGCCGGATTACACAGCATCATAACGCAGATGGTGGTATTCTTTCAGTTAGTTTTGTATTCCAGTCTAATTTCATATTTTGATTCACACATTTCTGTACCAGATTGGAGCATATATCAATGTATGCAGGTAACAGCGCCCAAAATAAGGTACCAATGTTGAGTAAACTTTATATGGTAGGCATACACTAAATTTTGTTAAGTCATTTTGAATTTAGTTTATTTACTTCATTTTAAGAATCACTTTAATTTGATTTTACTTATATGTTCTGGGTTTTATACAACACTTCTGGGGCTTTCACGGTCATGATCATTCAGATCATGGTTTTCTAGGTTGTGACATTGTAGGTGTATATCATTGTTTCAGAGAAATATGCTATCTACATCTTCAGGGTCAAAGTGTGTTAAGTGAGACATCATTTGGGCTATTTAGGCATGTTGCAAGGAAGACATTCACTTGGATCCCCCCTCTGGTTACTCACCTGAAAGACTACTCAGCCTTATGCTCCAGAAGAACACAGTCTGAAGTATTATGTTGTATAGGCCTCATTAATTGAATTCATTTTAATGCTCACTTTACTTAACAGACTAAGTGCATTTTTGGACATGTATAACCAAGTACCCACCACCCACCTAAGAACTATGATGTATAAACATTGTCTGTATCCACAAAAGGCACAAGTCTTGTACAATATTTGAACAGAGTTTACTGATTTAAAAAAAAGAACGATTTTAAGGTGAAATTATATAATTTAAACAACAGACAAAATTTGTGCATAAATGAATGTCACACTAATGGTGTATTTGTCCAGTTTTTTCATACATACAATCTGTGTCTTATCTGTTTCACAGGAAGTAGGCAGTGTATCACAGAGCCACAGGATCTCCTTCAGCAGCTGCGAAGAGCTCTTGTCAGTCATGGAAAAGAGAGCAGTTCATCCTCAGAACAAGGAATGGCAGCCTCCAGTGCTGCTGAAAAGTTTAACAAGTCCACTGCACAGACAGCTGAAGGATGTGAGAGAATAGTTAGGAAGATAGTAGACAACTTGGAGGAAGAGAAAGCATCAGACCCACAGAAACTTTCTAAGAACCAAGGGAACATGTAAAAGCAACTGTTTCTTTATATACCATGTTTCCAATGCTATTGTTGCTAGTACCCGGTAGATGCATTAACTGTGATTTAAACATTTACATTATGACCCATTTGTAATACAGATTTTGTTTCTTAATGAAGTGAAATATTAGGTGATGGAATCACTCATTCACTTCACATATCAAGTGAAAGTCATTGTATGAGCTTGGGAATTGAAATTTTCTTATTGGAGAAAGTTTGTAACTAGCGATATTACAGATGGGTTATATGGTGCTTACCTGTTACCACAAAAATTTTCTTGTATATGTATATAAAGAGGGAGCTGTAAGTGCAAAAGAGTAATAAATAAATTTAAACAAGAACAATTCTTTTCCATGTTGATGTAAGAAATACTTCCCATGGGTCTTTCTTATCAACATCCTGTTCCCAGCTTATTTTTCCATGCCTTATCCCATTGGCCTTTGTAACCAGTGGTTCAGCTTTCCTTCATAAAAGAAAATCATATAAATTAAGGACAATTCAAAATAAATATTTCAGAATTATGACTGAAAATTCATTTGGGTTTAGATCTATTCTAGGATAACAATTGGTGTAAGATCTAATATAGCAAAAGAGCTTGAATTTTGTGTTATTTTTTATTTTTAATTTTTTATAGAAGAACCTATCTTAAACAGACCCTGGTTTAAATTAAAACTTGACTTAACTAAAATAAAGGCCATGCCATAGCTCAAGCGGTTAGTCACTTGCTTCCGCGGCCCGGGTTCGATCCCAGGTCTGGTCAAGTGGGATTTGTGGTGGACAAAGTGGCACTGGGGCAGGTTTTCCCCAAGTACTTCAGTTTCCCATGCCAATCTTTATTCCACCAGATTCTCCGTCATCGTAATGACCCAGAGCAGGTACAATAGGCCAATCAGTGGCTGACGTGCTGAGTGGACCCAACTGGATTCCACCCCTCACTATGCGAATTAAAAAAAAAATAATTAGAATAAATATTTTGTTCAAAGAATGTAATACACAGATGTCCAATGAAAGTAGACATTAGTAGATTATTAACTGGATATGTTATATTAGCATGCATCGTGTTCATCGTTATAGAGCTGCTATTGCAAACTGGGGAAATGCAAAGAAAATCAATGATAGAAACAATTTTATTTGGTTATCTTATTACCTACATAGTAATTTTATTTTATTATGAATTACCTAGTTAATTAAATTTGACATTCTTATAACAGAAGTTACAGATGCACTTACACTATTACAAAGTGAGGGAAATGAGATTCTTAACTTAAAAAGTAATTTTGAATTTTAATTGAACAATTTTACTCAGAGAAACTGACTATACTGAAAACTTTATTATGAACCACTAGATTCAAACAGCAGTATCCAGGTTCGATCCTGGAGCAGTTCATACATGGCTAATTGTACACAAACTATCACAGCACTTCAGTTTTCCCTTACATCAGCAGTCCACTGATGATCCATGTTCATGTTATAACACCTTGGATATCTGGCAAGCCTGATCAGCCAGTGCAGTTACTTTTTATTTCTTTGTTAATTGAATGGTATGTTAACAACTGCAAAGATCACACAGTACTGAATGGTTTGTCACAAATATAGTTGTTTTCTGGACTTTTTCTGGCATTTAGTTGGCTCAGTTTTGTAGTCTTCAAATTTAGACTATAAATAAAATCTGTTCATAGTCAGTGCTAAGTCCATGCAGAAATATTGCATGTTCAGCAAGCTTCTTCTCATTTGGTATACCAAAGGCTGGCCAGATGATTGGAAAGGGTGTTATATATATACACAGGACTGACAGAAAGACCAAATATCAGAATACAAGCAGTACAGATGTATTTTGTGAGCAGTGACTGGATACCAACTGCAGTGGAAATATAAAAGGGAACTGAAAGTAGTTCCTACTAAAGCACATGTACAGGTTATTAAATATGACAGTTTGTTTAAGAATTTCATGAAATGTAGAAAGAGGAATGTACTTATTAATGAGGTTCTCTTGTGTTATAATTATTACAGATGAATCTTCTTAATTCAGAAAGAAACATAAATATCAGAAATGATGTAAGAAACTGCTTAAGACCACAAGGCTACTGGGACTTAAGGAAGTTAAATGTGCAATATGCAAAGTTCAGACTGTATTTTACTGTATCTGATGATACTAAGCACATGAAGGTTACAAGATTTATCTCTAATACAAGTAATACATAGTTTAAATCTAAATATTTCTGCTCAAATGATGAAATGTTAATGCTATTCAATATTTCTTTGTATGTCACTGAAGAAGTTTCATCACTTCACATCTTTATTATCAGTGGCAGTGGGTGAAAGAAACAGACTAGACGCTATAAAACAGAGATTAATTCAAATTTCATTCAATTTGATCTTTGAAATATATTAATACTACACAGACCTTTAATATTTAAAATATACAGCTTTTAAAAATATGTATAACAGAATTGAAATATTTATGAAATGAAATATAATATTAATTACATTAATTTGCTTCAACACATAATTGCTAAAATGAGACAGTTAGTTATTACAGGCAGTTGAAGTTCCCTTTTCCTAGAAACTGCTTCTACGATATATGTAATATCCAGTTCTATACACATTAATGTGACTTTTTGGAGCAACAACTTCATATCAGTTTTGAGATTTTCACAGCAGTGAATAATTAAGATTGTGGATGTCTTGAGTTGTGCCACTGTGCAGTTTTGTGGGTCGATACTGATGTCCCTCTGCAACATTGATACTCACCAATAAAACTACATGGTGTCACATCTCAGAAGTTCACAGTCTTAATAATTACATACTTGCATTATTGTAAGCAGTAATTAAAGCAGACAAAATTGACAATATCGTGATTGGTCAGTTCTGAAGGGTTCTGATAATGGTGTATAACACGCAGGATGGCTGAGTTTTTGGGCTTCATCCACTGTCTGGCATTCCATGGAACAATGTTTTGGAAACTGGATCTGTTTCCATCCTGAGGTGAAAGGGAAGGAGGCTGCTACTCAGCTGGGTCCATTAGAAATGGCTAACCTCAATCACTGGAAGCAGTGATTGAGGTTATTTATTTATAATTGACCCAGCAGCATTGGTGTCTCCCACCCTTTCATGAAAACAGATCCAGTTGCCAAAACATTATTTTCAGCAGAATACCAGATGCTGGACAAAGCCAAGAAATCAGTAATCCCAAATGCTGATTGGTATCTCATTTCAGATCAGATGGACATTTGTTAGCCTAAAATACATAGACCTACAATGCATTTTCTTTTTAGTGGGTTATTTAACAATGCTAGACTAAACAGAAAACTACATAATGAGGAGCTTCATAACTTATACTCTTCTCCAAGTATAAGTAGAATGATCAAGTTAAGGAGAATGAGGTGGGCAGGGCATGTAGCATGAATGGGGGAGAAGACGAATGCATATGTGATCTCGGTGGGAAAGCCAGAAGGAAAGAGAGCACTGGGAAGACCAAGGTGTAAGTGGGTGAACACTATTAAAATTGATCTTAGAGAGATAGCATGAGAAGTTAAACAGTTGTGTCTAGTGAGACTGGTGAAGATTTTTCTTTTTTCAATTATTTATGTCCTTACATGTTTCGGTCCAGAGACCATCATCAGAAGGGAACCTTTACATTAATACAGTTGGAAGTTACTATTACAATATATGTTCTGAACGTTAAAATATATACATATTATTAATAATATACAATTGGGTATAAAATCTAAAGTTTTTACACCAAAGCGGCTGTTCCAATACATTAAAATATTTGTATTGGTTGGTTAAGATTTTAGATGAAGGTGCAATTTATTAGTGAAAGGTTATTTAATTTTATCAAAACCAAGGGCCCCTCTGCCCCCTTATCTCAGCAGGGACTATTCTCTGTACAAAAACCATTGATTTTATATGCACATATATAGAGCTTGTTCTTCAAATGGCCATGTTACAGTGTTATGTACAAAAACATGGCAATGATTGTTTGGAATCTTGATGGCGGATACCAACATTTTGGAGGAATGTACTGCCACAATCTTCAGTTCCAAAGTGTCTGGGGTGAGAAATCTGTTGTGTTATGTAGACAAGATGCAAGGAAGGTGGTCACTCAGGTCTCTGGCAGGGGGAGAGGAGATAGAAACCATTTCAGGCCAGTAAGAATGGTGAACAGGAAAATGGCCACTTTCAAGCCACAGTCTTATTAAAGTCTTGTGTTTCTTCAGAAAAATAAAAAAATTCAATTTAGGTATGTGGCAAGTTTCAAATGCATTCATCTTCATAGGATTTTATCCTACTAAAGCTCTGTTGACAGAATTTAACATGTTTACAAACAGAGATAAATAAATGTATGAGCCATTAAAGCATTTAACAACAGTAATTTTTCCCCATATCTACCATAAAAGCTTCAGGATGGAGGGAACAGTTTCTTAGTCCTGTGATATAGCTCTATATACTTATTTTCTGTGCAACATATATCATGTTTCAGAACTTCCATATAAAGTGCAACATTCTGCATTTAATTAAACTTGAAGCATATGTTTATCAGACACATTATTAAAGCCATATTTTATAATTATTTCCTCTATGTTTTTTACCCTGATTTCCTGATAACTGCAACTGTTGTGCTGATAAAATATTTCTAGAGACAAACATTTTTATTTCATATTTTTTAAATCAACAGTTGCAGTTCATGAGCAAATAAAGAATATTCATGCTTCATTGTGTTTTTATATTATATAGTTTTTATTTTTCTTCTACACTTTAAAAAATATTTTGCTTCGTAATTCTTCCCAAAATTGTTATATTTGGCTTAATATTTTGATTGTTAGGAAGCTAACAAGCATCATGGAAGGCCTTTATTCTTCATATCCTGTTCTGTTAAAGAATCATGGTATGTATGACTTGGCAGCAGAACCATTAATTAACAATAAAATGAAACACACAAAAGTGTCAGGATTAATTTGTTGTGGTTATACTACACCACTTGGACTTGTGAAATGTGTATGTATGTACTATATACTACATGCTTTGATCCTGAGAGATCGTCAAGAGGTGTATTCAAAATATATATAGTAACTGAATTTCAAGATATTGTGAAAATTTCAAGGATTTATAATATTTTAATACTGAATTATAGCACATATTTTAATATGAAAAATGTGCCTGTTTTATAGAAAGTCATTTTAACATCGACTTGCAATGCAATGTCTATGCCTTTATTTATTCTCAATTAACCAGATGATTTGTCAAGCTCAAAACATATAAGGGTATAGTCTAACCACAGTAAAGTAATCCTGACACTTTTGTTTTATTTATTTTTAAGTAATTGTGTAGATAGCCACTATGAACTATGATCATGAAAGGTGATTTGATGTTGAAGTATGACTTAGCTGAGACTTATAAGGAAGCGATAATGTCCCATTCTAAGGATCTGAGTATTTCTCTTGAATGAGTAAGGAAACAATGGAAAATTTCAACCAGGATCTACACTTAAGCGTTCATTCTACGAACTGCTTTAGGAAAGCAAGCTATGTTGAACTTGTTGTGAGTGTATTTGCGCTATTATTCTCCAAAGGTTAATTATTATTGTTATGTTGGGTCCTATGTGGTGTCACATATACGTGTATATTTAATATACATAACATTTCAGGAGGTTCTGCTCCTGTCTTCAGGTGACTGGTTGGTTGTCATTTACTGTGCATATTACATGGTGCTAGTATCTCTACCACCTCTCAAGTTCACACACACACCATGTTGTTGTTATTGATTGCAGGTTACTAAAATGTGTGACAGGATGAACACCAATGGCATGCATTCATACAAGATTAATAAAAACTGGTCAACTGGATCAAAAGTTGAAATGAACACAGACAGTAGGATGATCTCAACAGAAAACATTAAAAATGTCTGTAGCCTTAAATCACCTGAAGATATGATTAGAACAAACTCCCACAACGTTCTGTACATTATATATACAGTGTCCAACATAATCACAGTGTAACATGATTAATCAAGAACTCAGAATGACTACCATATGTTTGATGCATTATGTAGGTACTTATATTATAATTTGCCAGTAATCCAGTCAGGAGTTTGTTAGCAATCCAAATTTCAGTCCCAGGTCTGTTAACCCTCTTGAAGCTGAAACCTGAAGGATGGAAACGGATATTGCAGCCAATGTCACAGCTCCCTCTAAGTAGATGGCGTAGAAAGTCCTAACGGTTCCAGATGTGAGCCCCACACCACCTGCAGCTGTAAAATCAAGGGGGAAGAGGAGACATGCAGCAAATGGCTGTGACTGGCCCACTCCAAAGACTAACACTCCAAAAATGTAATACAGGAAGATTGATGCTGCAGGAAACCACTTCAACCATCGTGGTGGAGTTATACAGGGGTTCATGCTGATCTTCCTTAATCTTACATTGTTTGAGTCTATTGCGGATATCTGGTCTTCAGGTGCCTGATTATGATGCTGCACTGGACTGGATGGTTTCTTTACTGGAAAACATTATTAGAATCAAGAATTAGTATTGAACTTTTGCTATAACAGATGTCTCCAGTCTCCATGTTAAGAAGTTTCGTTGGAAAAGTGTGTAAGAACCAAGCATCGGTAAATTTGTGATATACAGGGTGATTCACGAAGCTTTACCCCGGCTTATGGTACATATTCCTGAGGTTATTTCCTGCAAAATTTCCTTATAAACTTGTGGTCGATTTTCAATAGTTATGGAGTAACAACAGATTTTCGAAACACATCATTGTGAATGCAGCGCTATGCTTCAGCGTGGGCGACCATTAGCTATGTCAGCAGATAAGGTAGACCGGTTTGAATGTTGCGCATAGGTAGATAGGCAGAGCGGTTCATACGCCTGCGACGCATTGTGTTGACGTGCAGGGAGACATTTTTGAAAATCTTATGTAAATCCAGTCGTCTTCTAAAGCACTACAGTTTAAAGGAAACAGATTGATAGAAGGGGGTGATATGCAACCATTGGTATGTTTACAGAATGGGATGCTGAAAATAATGTAATTTTGTAACACAAAATTGCCGAAAAATTTTGTACAATGCAAAATTAAGAAATTGAAAAAAAAAATGGTTTTAGAATGCGTCTTTCCTAAAACATTAACGATTTAAAAAGTATTTGTATTGTATTTCTAATTTGTTTTGACTGAAATTCGAAGAAAAAAAGATTTTTCGCCAGTTTTCAAATTACTGTATCTCTTTAATTATGAGTTGGATACCATTAGTATATTAACATTTTTTGTTCCAAATTACCTCAGGAATGCCCTCCCTAAGTGGGGGTAAAACTTCGTGAATCACCCTGTATTCTGTATCAGGTAACATCATTTACAGAGGGTTCATTGGTAAACAGTATTGTCCCCAGTTTCCATGTTCCGAGTTTTCACTGGAAATTTTGATGGTCACTTGTCCTTCTCTGGACTAAGAACAACCTTTTGAATATTACACTCCAACGTCTGCTTTTCCATATTCATTGCTTTGATGTTATTTTTTCTGTTATACAGTCTATGTCTAGGTCCTTACAGCATCGTTTCTAACTGCTATTTGTGTGTGTGGTTGTGCACACTCGTGTTTAAGCCATGGCTGATTTTAGACTTAGCTCTAGGTTACTCACCTTTGTACTGGCAACAGCACTGGAGCAGAGCTGTGGGAAATGATGTGCCAGGTTGCCACCTGGTAGCAAGATACTGCAATTTGACTGCGACCAGCATCCCAATGTTAAGTACAAGGAGCAGATGTAATGGGATACCAATTGCTGAGAATATCACAGCTGACATTCTGCCCATGGTTGTTCTTGGAACTGGAGCTCCAAAACCTTGCAAAATATAAAGAACATCTTGTCTGATGTACGTGACCTGCACAGTAAAACAATTAGGAAAGGGTCTTCTGTCATCTCCTTTATTACATGAATAATGAACTTGAAGTTATCTTCTTTTTCCTTATGTTTGGCTAAGTATGAGAGATGAAGGTTGCATCTTAAAGACTGTCTCTTAATAATGACCTCATCCTCATGTGATTGACTTCTACTGTCAGTGATGAGGGCGTGGCAATCATGTTACAGTGGTATAACCATTACATACTGTACGGAAACAAATGTTACTATCCAAGTCCAGATGAAGCATGTGACAGCAGGATAACCATCACTGCCTCAGATCAGAAGAGTTGAGTCATGGCAAGATGGTCATCACTACCTAAGTTCGGAAGTATTCAGTCATGACAGCATAAATATCACCACCTAATTATAGAAAAAAAAATGAGTTACTTTTGTCACTACCTCAGTCATTTACAACTGAGCCAAGAAAGGCTAATTACTACTGAGGTCCAGAATAAGCAACTCATTGCACAGAAATCATTTCCTGAGTCAAGAATTGGATAATGGCAGTATAGCCATTACTACCTTAGTCTGAACAAAGTGAGTCATGACAGTATAAACTGCACAGACTCCAGAGGAACTGAATCATGCCAGTATCGCCATTGCTACCACAGTCCAGAGGAACTGAGTTACGGCAGTATAAATGTCAAATCCTAAGTCCAAAATAATTGAGACACAACAGTACATTAATTCAAGATGTTGTGCAGAAAATTACACCAATATAATTTAGGCCAAGTATTAAACTAAGTTTTAGGCCATGCCATAGCTCAAGCAGTTAGTCATTGGCTTCCCACCAATCCCAGGTCTGGTCAAGTGGGATTTGTGGTGGACAAAGTGGCGCTGGGGCAGGTTTTCTCCAAGTACTTCGGTTTCCCCTGCCAATCTTCATTCCACGAATTGCTCCAGTCACCCTCACCTATCATCTGGGGCTGGTACAATAGGCCAGAAGTGGCCGCAGTATGAGGGACTTAGTCCCAACCCACTAGCAATAAAGAAAACTAAGTTTTAAGTTTTGGTCAGACTTCTTAATGTTGACAGTCATAGATAACTGTTACAGTTGAGTTATTGTCTATGATTATATTGGCTATTGTTGCAATTTAGTTCCCTGAAAGCCTTTACTTTATACCACAGTTGCTAGAAAATGAACAGCTGAACCTGAAACCAAACTTGCTGGCTTCTCTCATTTGTCTTCCCATTGCATTGTGTGTGCTGCTTGTTAAACTTTACTACGCTATTTCACAAAAGCTAATACGTGTAATAGAAGGTCAGAACTTGTGCCTTTGTGCATTTCTTTTTTATTAATATATTAGACAAATGCAAATAATAATGAACTAGCATACACAATGAGCTATATTATACATGGGAACCTGATGATGGCTACTTGATAGTCAAAACATGCTTGTCTAAATTTTTACTTCTAGCATAGCAGTGAAATTACATCATAATTAAAAAATAATTATGTTAACTAACAACAGAATCATTGGCATGTTGCACTGTATGTAACTTTTAAATATACCCCATGTAATGATGTAATGGGATGTCATATGGAGAGACAACCACATTGGTGACCCCGACGTGATAATGTGGGATGTTCCCACAGAACAATGCAGATGCAACAATACAGAATATTGGAAATCTACTGGGGTGAGCTCCAGTTTATATCAAGGGTAGGGAGGAAAAAAGGTAAAGCTATCTCTTTAACAGGCCGTGGAGGCCCATAGGGTTGTGGGATGTCGAGGCTGCCACATTTTCTAGACAATCAGCTCGCAGATAACGTTGATATTGTCAGCCTTATGCACCAGCCGCCCTTTACCCCAGGAGGATTCCTGGTGCTCATTTCTGCTAGAGGTTGAGTCAACCCCAGGGCCTTAATGGGGCTGGAAGGGTTAGGTCAATTGAAAAATCTAATGACCACATTGGGAATCGAACCCGTGATCTTCCGGCTTGTAGCATAGTGCCTCAACCAACTACGCTACCACATCCCCTGAGCTCAGGGTAACGTGCATACACAAATTCTGAGTTATTTCCTGCAGCCTTATGCAATTTAATAATTCAGAATAGCATGTGGATACAGATAGAACATAAAGTTGCATGACATCCAGAATATTGAACTGTATTATGTAAACAGGAGAGCATGTGAGCTGGGTAGGCAGCTACATGTTCTCCTTTCCTCTTGAAAACTTGAAGTATATGCAAGGCACAGCTGTTCAATTGCAGAGAATGGGTCTGAAGAAGAACAGCAGTTATAATTTGTCTTCCAAGGATATTAAATGATATTATATTGATTGAATATATTTCCTGAAGACTGTGAGTTTGTGGAATATGGTGTAATGCAGTTTGGTGGATGATCACCACTGTTTTAGAAGAAAAGCCTCCATCTTCAGGATTCAACTATCTACCAGGCTACCTGATCCCACATCCCAGAAGACGGTAGTCTTAACACTGAGTAGGTTGTCTCAGCAGTAATTTTCTGTACTTATGTTCAAATCTTGTCTATCCTGATCAAAATTTTTGTGGTTTTCCACAGTATCTCCAAGCAAATGCTGAGATAATACCTTCAAAAGGCCTTAATCACCTCCTACATATCCACCACCATTCCTGTTCATAATTTCTGCAGTTAGAACAGCGTTGTTATATAGTGCTATATTTGTTTTATATCACTGTACCAACTGTGAATATTGAATAACATGATCCATTATGAATTTGAAGGAATGTGAAAGGAAGCGATACAGCCTGTCTGTATGGAATGAGGAAAAGCATAAAAATATTTTAAAACTGGTTCAGAGCTCAGACCTAAACCTGCAGTGTAAGTCAGCCTGTTTAGGAAATGGTAGTAAGTTGAGTTCAAGGGATTTTTGGCAGTAGTAATTTAATACAGCAAAGAGTGCAAACATTCTCCATAGGCTTTTGTCAATGGTTGTTTTTGTTGTAAGCAGACTGCAATTTTAAAACATGTGGAAAATGGGTTAACCTCATCATTATGTTCCCAAAAGTCCATAACTGAATCCTATCATTAGCCAATTTAATCCATTTCACGCTATTTTTTCCAAGACTGGTTTTAAAATTGTCCCCCACTATACATCATAAGTGGTCCTTTCTTGTAATCCAATACAAATTTTGCATACCTTTTTCAGTCCTGTAATTATGCTATATGTCCTACCTACCTAATCCTTCCTGATTTAAGCACATTAACATTATTAGGCGAAGAGTAATGATTATGATGCCCCTCTTTATATAAATTTCTCCACTTCATTGACACTACATCTATCCAAGATTCATATGTGTTTGTTAGCAATTTGCTAACCCTGTCAGGTCATCTGTTGGAATCTATCTGACCTTTGCAGAAACTCAGTCTTCTTCTTCTCTCTTTCTTCTCTTCTTTATCTAGTGTTATTTCTATTTTATACAGGCCATGAATGAAAAGTCTCTAATCTTTTCTTTCTCCTCCCAAGCTTCTCAGTTCTTTCCTATTTTCTGATGTCTTCCAGTTCCTAGCTAAAATTTAAAGGAAAGAGATCTATGGGGTGGCAAACAAACAAACTTAAAATTACAACAAATATGAAAAAAGCTGTGTAAGATTTGAGGCTTTCACGGCGGTGACTATGAAGAAAGCTAATTTCATTCGTGTAGTTTGTCATATGTTACAACTGCACCTCAATTGGGCTCCTTTGTGGAGTACTAACATTTGGAAAATGGCATTGCAGTGAAATTCATTTGAAAGCCAAACAAGATAAAACAAATCTAGAAGCATATCATATATAAAAATAACATAGATCTCAAAGGGTTTAAACTTAATTATTCTGCTTGCCAGTTCTGAAACCCAGTTCCACTGTTTGTACACTTCGCTCTGTTCCAAAGTTCAGCACAATAATGCATGATATACTGCTTCTGATATATGTATGAAATTGTAGGTTGAAACTTGTTCTCCTTCCATCCATACATCTTTGGAATTCATAAAATAACACAGGTGAAGTTTGATAATAATTATTTGTTTCACGAATGTACCTCACAAAAATGGAAACTGAAAAGATGAAAAACTCAATATACGTATAATATAACAATGAAGTAGGCTAAAGTGGGCTTTATGTTCTACAAGAATGCCATAAGCTATTTCTAACCTTGTAATTTATATTCATTTGATGCTTTTACATTTTCACTTTTAAAATAACAGCAAAAATCCTTAATTCTTTCGCTGCCTTATGAAAAGCTTACATTGCTTTATGTTCTGTATGGGTATGAAACATGATAACTTATTTTGTGGGAAGAATATACTGTATGTGTAAAATAAAAGTCTGGGAACAAAGCACTCCGTAAGAAATTTGTAGTTAAGAAGAATGTAATATTACACATTATGTGTTAAAAATGTTTCATCATTCTGGTGCACATTGCAATTGCTGTCTTCAGTGTTAGTGTAAGGAGGGTGGAGTAAGAGGGTTAATATAGGTCTCACGGTGGGAGTGAGGGTATGGGAGTTAATGTCTTGGAAGAGTGAGCAGTGAAATATAATGCTATCCAACAGGAAGTAATCCTGTGATTAAGAAGAAAGGTCAGGAAGAAATAAGCAAAGGGAGGTTATGCTCAATTTGCTTCCAACTTCAGGGTTGAAGTTGTGTTTGTGTTTTTTTATTTCAGTCACTCCGCTGATGATGTGAGGTTATTAAATAAGATTGTCTAGGCTTCTGTTTTATTGAAAGGATGAAAACATAATTACAACAAGGAAGACAGTGGAGAGGGAGAACTTATGGGAAGGGGACTGGAGAGATCAAGAGCTGCTGAGTATGGGAATGGCAAAACCGATGGGAGAGAAGATTCATGACTGATTATTGTTTTATTTAACAACACCTTTCCAACTGTATTGGTTATACAGTGCTGAATGGTAGGGTGACTATGAAGTGGTTTGGTGGTTTATTTTACAGCACTATCATATGCAGACTATATAAAAT